ATCAGGGCCTTGGTGGCTCAGGAAGGGGATTGCCTGAGGCTTACACAACCACCTCCATTGCATGTTTGTCCAGCTTCCACCTCCATGTAATTCAGGGCGAGAGCACAGATCCTGTATTTCAGGAAATCCCAGGAGGCCGGGAGGGGCCTTCCACCCAAACCCTCGCGTCTCAGCACCCGATGAGGAGTGAAAATCCCCAAGTGGTGAGGGGCTTGCTGAGAGGGTAAACCAGGCCCCCTGGGAGGAGTCCCAGGGCCTCCGATGTGACACAGCCAGCACTGGCCTGCCGCCTCCTCCCACAGAGATCCGGCTCTTGGGTGTGCCCATAAATTCGAACCATCTCCTCCACCCCTGCCGCTCCTTCAAGGCAGGAAACAGGCAGGACTAGGTGTGCAAGGAGGTGACGGGTTAGTGGAGAGGCTGGTGAAGCAGGAAGACCCTTCCTTACAGAAAATGGGCTGGGGTTGTGAGGATAAGTCTGTCTGGTGGGGGCTGTCCAGCTGTTTGTAGATGCTCAGGGCCACCGAAGGAGAAGCAGGTATGTGGCCGGCCAGCATCGTCCTCGGGAAGGTGCCCGCCCTCAGAGCCTGGCAGAAGCAAGTGAGGAGCAGACAGCTGAGCCGTGAAAATTTTCAAAGCAGGAAGGAGACCAGCGGCAGCCACAGCCAGGACAGGGGTCAGCAGGAGCCTATGGGGACAGGAACACTCCAAGGGCCTCCGCACAGGGCAGGGAAAGGGTAGTGTGGAGAAGGGGCTGAAGTGGGTGTGGCCCTGAGTGAGGCCACCCAGAGCAGCCAGCTCTGTCACCAGGGGCCATTCAGTCAGCACAGGGCCGGACTGGAGCCCCCCACCCCCTACCCCAACCCTCCCCCGAAGGGTGGAATCTATCGCACAGCCTGGACTCAGGAGCCCACTAGGCCTCCTCTGTGGCTGCCATGTGTGGGAGAAGAACCAGCCCCTGGTGCGGCAGGCAGGGTTGGAATATTTGGTATTTTTTTATTGTGACAAATAAACATAAGGACATTTATCATCTTACCGTTTAACCGTACAATTCAGTTGCATCAGGACATTAACATTGTGCTACCAACATCAGCACCCATGTCCTGAGCTCTTCTTCCCAAAATGAGACCCTGTCTCAATTGAGCACAAACTCCCCAGCTCCTGCCCCAACGCCTGGCACCCACCGTCATACCTTCTGTCCCTATGACTCGGGTTCCTCCAGGGACCTCACATAAGCGAGGAGTAGGGGTTCCTTGAGGATGGGTGCTGAGTGAAATCAGCCAATCAGGAAAAGACAGGGACTGAATGATTCCACTTATATGCATGTTGTAGCAAGTGTCATGATTTCCTTCCCTTATAAGGCTCATATTCTCTTGTATGGATGCACCACGTTTTGTTTATTCTTTCTTCTGTCCATGGACTCTGGGGTTGCTTCCACGTTTCAGCTATTGTGAATGATGCTGCTGTGAACATGGGTGCGCAAAAATCTCTTTAAGACCCTGCTTTATCCTTTTGGGTGTATACCCAAAAGTGGAATTGCTGGATCATATGGGAATTCTATGTTTAATTTTTGAGGAAACTTCATACTGGTTCCCACAGGAGCTACACTATTTTACGTTCCCACCAATAGTGCTGAGGACTCCAGTTTCCCCACATCCCCCTGACACTGCTATTTTCTGGCAGCAGCCATCCTGATGGATAAAGAGCTATCACTGTGGTTTGATTGGCGTTTCCCATGACAAGCACTGTTGCGCATCTTTTCATGGGCTGGTTGGCCAGTCGTGTCCTTTACCCATTTTTAAATGAAGTGTTTGGGGGGTTTGTTGTTGAGTTATAAGAGTTCTCTCTGTATTCTGGACATTAATTCTAATATCAGGTTTGTGATTTGCATATATTTTTTTCCCATTCTCTGGGCTGCCTTTTCACTCTCAATATCATCCTTTGAAGCACAATGTTTTTAATTTTTCCAATTTATCTTTCTTTTCTTTTGTTTCCTCTACTTTTGGTGTCATATCTAAGCAATTGTTGCCAAACCCAAGGCCATGAAGATTTCCCCCAGCGTTTTCTTCTAAGAGTTGCATAGCCTTAGCTTGTATGATTAGGTGCTCAGCAGGGTTTTAAGGCCCTAAAAGCTCCAAGTTCCAGTCACCCCAGCAGAGCCCCCCCCCCCAACCCCGCCCCACCCTAGGCTCCTTTCTTCATTGCAATGCAGTGTCTGAGATTTGTTTTAGCCCCCACCCCACCCCCATGAATGCATGGGACAGAGGGCAGGTCCATGAATCACCCCCACACTCCTTCTCAGGACTGGCCCCCACAGCATCATCCTCAGGCAACCGTTTGAATATATTAATGCAGGTGGGCTCTGTCCCAAGGAACCTCTCAGGATTCCTCCCACCAACCAGGGCTGATAGCCCCCTGAGGTCCTCCGGGCAGGTGGCCATATGTAAGGAGAGGCCCAAGAGCTGGATGAAGAGGGAAGGCGGGGAGAGTTTCCTCCTGCAGAAATCCACTGGGATATGCCCAGGGATCCACTGGGGTGACCCCGAGAGGCTCACCTGGTAGTGTCCCCCACCATAAGCCTTCCAGTGTCTTCCCTGATCCAACTACCCTTTACAGGGTCTCCACTGCTGTCCCAAAACCAGGCCTCAGACATGGACAGATGGCCAGGGGAACACAGACACCAGTGACCCGGGCACCCACCCATCAGGCCTTGGCCCCAGTCAGCAGTTCTGGGCGGTGCCAGAGCCAGTGCCCCAGCCACGGTCCAGAGCAGGGCTGTATTTTGGTTCAGCGGAGGAATGCACAGCCTGCTTCCTGTCTGGCACCTGCAGGGGACGCGCCCTTAGAGGCTGCAAACCTGGCTCAGCTGAGCCACAGCCACAGGCAGGAACCACTCCTCTCCTTTGGAGGAGAGATCTGTAGGGAGTGCAGGTCCTGGGACAGAGTCACCAAGAGTACAGACGGGTGGGAAGAAGGCAGATGCCAGAGCTGATTGGGGCGGGACTGACAGCCCAGAAGCCCAGAGGGGCTGGGACAGGGGGTAACACATTCCTTTGTGGTCTCTCACCCTCTTCCCTGATTGCCCTCTCTGTGACCCGTCTTTGGTGGACACGTCAGAACTGTGTGTCCCATCTGCAGCAAGCCTGTCTGCCAGGGCGAGGACGAGAGGCCGACCTGGCCACTCACCAGGAAGTACCAAAGCTTTCCTGTGAATTTTGAGGTCCCCTCTCCTCTTAGACAGCATCTGGGTCAGAGGTGGCAAATTCTGGTGTCCCTGGCCCAGCAGGAGACAGAAAAAGGTGAGGCGAGCTGAGTTCTGCCTCACCTTACCCAGTCCCTGCCCCACCCTGTGTCCCCTGGCCCACACTTGGGCGGGCCCGGCCAGGACTTGGGTTGTCCCAGGGGAGCTGGAAATGCAGAGTCTGTGGTGACACGGTGGGGACAAGTGAAATCCAGTGAGTTTCCCACGTGGAGGAAGGAACAGTGGCAAAGCCCAGCCATGGCCCATCGTTGAGGGCCTTCTGCACAGACAGGGGAGGCAAGCACATTCTGAACACGTGGTGAGCGAGGCTGCCTGCCCTCTGAGCACTTTCTCGGACCCCAGGCAGCAGGCAGTTCAGGGCCTTAGAACCAGCCATGCCTCCCTGAACTCTCCCTGCCTGCCTGTCCATCCACAGAGGAATGTCCTGTATGGTGAGGACTCCTAGCACATGTTCTCCTCATTCCAGAAATTTCCCGGGGGCTGTGCCCAGGCTCAGCGCTGACTCTGCACTCAGAGTTCTCCTCCTAGTCCATTGAGGGCCCAGGAACAGAAGCTGCAAGCTTGGACACCAGGCAGTGAGGCTCCAGGGTATGCACAGGCCCTGTGTGGGCCTTGAGGGGGTGGAGAAGGCTCCCGGAGAAGAGAGTGCAGCGGTAGGGACAAGGGGGAATGGGCAAGCTGAGATCAGGGGCGCGGGGGGTGGGGGAGGTGCAGGGGGGCATGGCAGGATGGCCCCGCCCATCTCAAGGCATCAACTGTCATGGTTTCCAGTGACTGGAGCCTTATTTAGACTCACCTGAGTGACCTTCACAGATGGTCACACCAACCTCTGCAGGCTCCTCACCCCCACAGCCAAGCACCCAAATTACACTGCCTCTTCACCCCTGCAGGAACTCTCACCAGAGGACAGAGCCATGTCCTCCTGTCAGAGGAGGTCCAGCCTCTGAGAGGCAGGAAATGCTGGCTCCTCTGGGCTCATCCTCCAGGCCCACAGGAGCTCCGGGATGCAGGGATGCTGCAGGAAGCCTTGGGTGCCAAGAGGATGCCCAAGCCATGGCATCGGTCCACTGGGCTCTGAATCTGGACCTCTGCTTTGTGACTTCAGGAGCCAGAACTCATTGCTATACCAGCGAGGCCAGGGTCAGAGGGAAAGCCTAGGGCCTAGGCCCTGATGCCCTAGAAACTGCCCCATAAACCCATACCAGCCCTGATGCCCAGTGGGACTCTGTCTGGCCCTGAGAGCTGGCCTGTCTTTGCATGGGGCACCCTTGTAACTGTCTTCTCAGGAAGGGAAGGGTGGCAGGAGACCTGAGGAAATCAGGAGCAGGACAGAGCACAGGTGCCTTCAGTGAGCTTCGGTTCTGAGGAAGTGCCTCAGCCCCTTCAGGCTGGCCAATGGAAGGTGGGGCCTTTCCCCACAGGTATGGGGGGGCCTGGGGGAGAGGTCGGCCCCTCCCTGGTTGTGGTTGCTCAGGTGGACAGCTTCATCCAGGGCGTCCCCAGGTCTCCGGGGAAACAGCTTCCAGACAACAGCGTTCCTTAGTCCCTATCGCAACAAGGCCTGCACTCCTGTTTCCAGGGAAACCCAGCCTTCAGCGTCCCAGTTGCCACAGCAACACCTAAGCTTCAGTTGTCCACAAGGTCCCAACCCAGAGGGGCAGCTGGGAGCCCAGGACAGGGAGCAGGTGCTGCACAGGTGTGGGGCCAAGAGCTGAAGGAAATCTTGGTGAGGATCCCTGGAGGAGTCGCTGACTGGAGCCCGGTGAGCCGGGCTTTCTCCTGGATCCTGTGCCCCAGCTGCAATGAGTTCTGCCTCCAGTGAGCCAGGCAACGGGGCTGCAGCGGAGCGGTCCCCGCTGGGGCTGGACACCGTGATCCAGGTCAGTGCGGTGGCTGCCTTCCAGCACCTCCTAGAGCAGGCTCCCAGGGCACCTTAAGAGGGAAGGGACCCTGCAGAGGCCACGCCTCCTAGGCTCAAGGGGCACTTGGCACAAGCTCACGTGGTCAGCAAGAGCACACAACCGCATGCGCAGACACACACACACACACACACACACACACACACACACACACGTATGCAGACTGACTGGGAAAGGGGGCTGGGGCCTCAGACCGCTGGTGAGCCCCTTCCCACTGAGCCTCAGGCTTGCAGCTTGCACACGGAGAAGAGGGGGGACTAGATCCAGGCTGACTTCTGGATCTAGCTCACTGTTTCTTTTGTGGCGAAGTGTGAGAGCCAGCAATCCCTCGCCACCTCTGCCCATGGGTGGGTGGGTGGGACCATCCCCAGTGTCTGTCCTGTGAGTTCCAGAGTTCTAGTTCCGACTTTCTTAGCCCCACTGACATAACAACAACGACTGGGGGTTATCCCCATGCCCCTTTCCTCTTCACCCCTGACCCAACCTGATGGCATCCCTGCCATCTCACCCCCTTAGAAGCCCCCCCACCTCTGGCTATCACAGTCAGGCAGTCCCTGCGCTGACTGACCCCAGGGGATCTCTGCGAAGGCCCATGAAGTGGTGACTCAGAATTGTTTATTAACTCAGTTCTTGGAACTTGGGAACTACACTGGGGGTGACGTGGTCCTATATAAACAATGCAGGTCCCTGGGGAAGAGCAGCTGCCCACAGTTGGTGCCAGATGATTAGGTAACATGATGTAGTCACCACACACATGTGCATGCACATACACACACACACACACACACACACAGGTGCCCACACAGGACAGAATGTGATGAGGGTATTTGAGTCAGGTGATAAAATGAGGTGGCCTGGGTGGTTGAGGCTCTATCCAGCTCCCAGGGGTCTTAGCTCTCTGTGGGCCTGACAGGGGCAAACCAAAGGTGGGTGAGGGAGGGGAAGGGCTTGCACACAGAGTGAACAAGACTTTCAGCAGTGTCCCAGTGGCCCTATATGCTCATGAGGGTTCCATCATTTCCCCTCGATTTGGGGAAAATAGAGACTCAATGGTGACAGGCTGGTTTATGAAACACAGGATGGCATTGATGTGGGCAGTGGGCACCAGTGCTGGGCAAACATGGCTGCCCATGGGAAACTGTCATCTGAAGGCCACAAGAAACCCCATGAGGTCTGCTCCACCCACCTGGCCAACATCTGTTATTTGCTCTGTAGTGATTGAGATCTTGGTGCTTGATAGGGGGGTGAGCAAGCAGGCAGGCGCCATGGGGACCCAGACGGGCCTGTCCAGACAGTGTGGCAGGGCAGCAGATGGGGAAATGAGGAGCCTGGGCATAGTGTGGCTTGAGGATGGGGGGGTCTCATGTGTGACCAGGCCTGACCATGCTCCCCATGTTGGAAAAACCTACTGACGCTGCACCCCTCCAGCCAGAACTGCAGTCCCATCCTCTGCACCCCCTTCCACCTCTGGCCCCCATGTCCATCCACTAGAGCAGTGTTTCCCAAACTTCTCTCATGATGAGAATCACCTGGTGGAGTTGTTAAAATACAGATTCCTGAATCCCAACTAAGAAGTGCTAAACTAGAATTTTTGGGAACATATATTTAACAAGAAGTGCTAAACTAGAATTTTTGGGGCACTAAGTTAAGTATACAATTTTACCTATATGTTCCAAAAAATCCTAGTTTAGCACTTCTTAGTTGGGATTCAAGAATCTGTAGTTTAACAACTCCACCAGGTGATTCTCATCATGAGAGAAGTTTGGGAAACACTGCACTATAGCATCATCAGAATGCCAGAAGTCCTTGACTTAGATTCATTTATAGGAACTTTATCAAGACAAAAGTATGCTTGTATGTGTAGCAGCACATTCGTGAACATGCATGGCCATGGCTCACTGTGCTCACGGCTATCTGGTTCTCCATATTTTTCATCCAGCTATTGTTAACAGCCATTGGAGTGGCTTCCAGTTTGTCCTGCCAGCCATAGCACTCCCATAAACATTATGGAACATGTCTTTGGGTGCCTTGTGTATGTATCTCTTTTGGGGATCTACCAGGAGGGCAAACAATCGTCCTAGGTTTTGTATGTGCAGTTTGGGTGGATGCTGCCGAAAGGATTTCCAAAAGGGTTGTGCCATCCAAGCCATAGGGCGCCAGGGGGTGGTTGCTGCATACCCCAGCCAACACTTGGCATTTCCTACCATTCTCCTACATAGCCATTAGGGTGAAGGTTCCTGAGTGTTATATGGTGGCTTTACTGTCATTTGCCTGATGACTAGTGTAGTTGAATATATGTCCCCATGCTTATTGGCCCCTTTGGTGACTCTAAAATTTTGCCCATTTTCTATTGTGGTGGCTTCTCTTATTATTGATTTGGAAACAAGTCCTGTATTGAAGACATGCATTGCAAACGTCTTCTGTGGGTGGGTGGCCTTTTCCTCCTGTAATGGCATATTTTGATGGACAGAAGCTCTTCAATTTAATACAGCACAACTCATCCATTTCCCCCTTTACGTTAGTGTTTCTGTGTGCTGTTTAAAAAACACACTTCGGCCACTCCCTGGTCACGATGTTCTCCTGTTTCCTTTTAAAAGCTGTGTTGTTTAACTTTCACTGGGAAATCTGAAACCTATGTGCAACTGATCTTTGTGTGCAGCTCGAGGCAGAGATCACCATGCGCTCCTTCCATGTGCATAGCCAGTGGACTGAGGCCCCCTAGTGAACAGCGGCACACGTCTGCGTGTGCAGATTTTGGAGGCCCCTCCACTGCTTTGCTTCTACTGTTACCTCCACCTGGACACCTGACCTGTGCCCCCTCTGGCTGTTGAACTCTGACTTATCCTTCAAGGTCTAACTCACCTGCCACCTCCTCCAGGAAGCCTGTGTGGGTACTGTAGACACAGGAGCAAGCAAACATGATCAGCAAGGTTATTGCCCTCCCCAGTGCTCCTTGATGTGAGTCATTTTGCAGTTGGTGATTTATACGTCAGGCTGGGTTTTCAGTCATTCCTGTAGTGACCCATCTGAGTTTGCCATGTGCCAAGCATCAGTCATGCTGAGGGCTGGGGTAAGGGCCCAGAGATGAATGAGTAGTGGTCCCCCTCATCCCCAATGCCTGAGCCCAGTGGTCGGCAAACTCACTAGTCAACAGAGCCAAATATCAACAATACAACGATTAAAATTTCTTTTGAGAGCCAAATTTTTAAAACTTTTTATGCCACTTCTTCAAAATACAATAGTTTTGCCCAGGCCGTGGTATTTTGTGGAAGAGCCACACTCAAGGGGCCAAAGAGCCGCAGTTTGCCGACCACTGCCTGAGCCAATGCCTGGCCTCGAACTCCCCTTTATTATTAGTTAAGGACCAAACTGCCACTCATGAGAAGCATGAACCTACCCCAGGGCTCCAGGGCTCCAGGCTCCGTGAGAGATCTAAACTGAGACGGGCTGAGATACACATGGCGGGGCCAGGTGCTGCCTCGGACAGGGGAAAGCTCTTTCTCTTAAGGACATGGAGCCTGGTGGGTGGCCACCCCAGCCCAGGCTCGCTCTGCAGCAGCCAAGCTGCAGAAGGATGGCAGGCAGACGTCTGATGGCTGGACTTGGCTGGGGGCCCTGTCCTCAGGTGTGTTCCTCAAGCTGTGCCCACCCCTGGCGAGGGCCAGGGCCACCTGGGGGTGCAGGGAGGCCTGTGGCTGTGCCACGGTGGAAAGGCTTGGGAGGCTCTGAGTGGGCAGAGGTGGTGGAGGATGGTGGGCTGTGTGCTGGTGTGGGCCCCTGGCCGCCTGCTCCTCTGCATGGGCTCAAGAGGGTGCCACATGGGGGAGAAGTCCTGAGGTCAGTGTGCTTGCTGGACCCTGATCTCTGGCCACTGGGAGGGTGCTGGCTCAGTAACTGCTGTCAAGGGCATTTGGGGGCCCACAGGTGGGATCCTAACATTGTCATTCATGAGAGGGTGACTTTGAGCAAGTCCCCAACTTCCTCATGAAGTGGAAGTGAGAAGCTTCCCTTTGGGGTCAAGATAATGGATATGAAAACGTTTGCTGAGAAACCTCAAGTGGCCATGTCCTGCCTCCCTTCACTGATGCAGTAACAGGGCACTCCCTCAGGCCTCCATCCTTCCCCAGCTGAGCAGGCTGTCTCTTGCAGCACCCCTGGCACCCACAAGGTGGCACTGTTGGACCCACCATGTCCACCCTTCGAGGCCCAGGGCAGCCTTCTCTCCACACTGTGACTCTGCCTGGGTCCTGGTTGAGTTGGGGTCTTTCACTGGATGCCACCTCTGTTGCCCCGCCCTGCCTGCCACTGGGCTCACCTGGACAGCCCAGGGGTCTCCCTAATTTGAGTCTGGGTGTGGGGAAGTCTCGTTCTCCTTTCAGGAAGTCATTGTTCCTTTTCCTAATCCATCCTCCACTCCCCTGGGGACCAGGAAATCAGTGGTCTCTCCCTGTGCTCCTAGCAGCCTGGGGGTCCAGAAGGACCCACTCAGGAGGTTCTGATGCTGGCCACCAGCAAGGGGAAATGGCAAAATCCCTCCATGTGATTTCCATTTCTGATCTACAAGTCCACTCGCCTCCCCTCCGAATCTGTGAAAATGGGAGGTGGGGGGAGTCCCTGAGACCTCAGCCTCCACCCTCCATAAAGCTGTGGGGGAGAGGGTTCTTCTGACTCTCTCTCTCTCTCTCTCTCTCTCTCTCTCTCTCTCTCTCTCTCTCTCTCTCTCTCTCTCTTCCCCCCCGACCCCCCCACTGGAGGTCGCTAGGAGGCTAGGGCAGGTGACACGCCCACTGTGCGCGGTGCATCAGCAGGCAGAGCAGGGTCCCCAGCTCAATTCTCTTCAATGAGTCCTGCTCTGATGGGTGGGGCTGATAGGGGAGCCCGTGTTCCCCGGGTGGAGGCTCTCCTCTGCGGCCACGATGAAGAGGCGCGGCGTGAGGCAGGGGTCATTCGGGGCCCATCTGAGCCACAGGGTGCCCCGCCGAGCTGTGGCCTCGCTGGGTCTTTAGGGATTAGCGGAGGAGGAGGGCGCTGGGGAGGCCGGAGAAAGGGGCAGGGCCGGGCTCAACCGGGGTCTTCGGAGAAACTGACGTCTAGCCCTGGTGTCCCTCCGGCCGACTCAGGGTCTGTGGGCACTGCCCGTCACTGCGGACGCCCATCCTCCAGGCCCGGCCCCAGGGCCCCCACCCAGACCGGTGGAGGAGGCGACCCGCCGGGTGGGGACTGTGAGCCCCGCTGAGGCACATCCCAACCGGCCCGGGAGAGGCAGCGAGCGGTGGGTCTGAGCCCGAGGTTTGCGCAGGCTCGGCGGGCCCTGGACGGAGCCCCAACCCGCGCCCCAACCCCTGGGGCCCCTCCCCCCGCCCCCTTCCTCTCCCCTCTCCCTCCTCCCCTCTCCCCTCTCCCCTCTCCCCTCTCCCCTCTCCCCTCTCCCTCTCCCTCTCCCCTCTCCCCTCTCCCCTCTCCCCTCTCTCCCTTCTCTCCTTTCCCCTTTCCCCTCCGCGCTTCCGCGGGGCGGGGCCGCTCACACCCCACGGGCGGGCGGGGGTGGGGGAGGGCGAGCGCCCCCTCGGCTCCAGCTGGGCCGCGGCCCGTCGCAGGCACCCGGCCACAGCTGGAACCCATTAGGCCCCGCGCCTCCTGGGACGCCCCGGCTAATAAGTGACCCTCTGTAAACGCTAGGAATGAGTCAAGTTCAGGCCGCGCTGCTGCTTTCCCGTTAGCGGGTGGCGCCGCGGATGCCCGGGGGAGCGCGGGCGGCGGGCTGCGGGCCAGGGCAGAGGCCTTCCTGGCCCAGGAGGGGCGCTTCCTGGACGCACCGGCGGGCGGGGGCGGCGGTTCTCGCCACCCCGCCGGGCCTCAGTTTCCCCGAGTGCTAATAAAGGGCTCAGGTGGGCGGTGGTTGGGCCCCCATACCCGCCCCCCACGCCTTTCCTCCCGGGCGCACAGGAGAGGCGGTTGGTGGTCTTGGCGCCCGGTCCTCGCTTGGCCCAGAGGAGGCATAGCCTCCCCTTTCCCCCAAGGGAGGCTGCTCACGCCCGCCCAGAGCAGGGCTTGAGGGGGTCATGTGGGGGGTTGTTGAGCGAAGGCTCCTCCCCAAGACCCCGGGGGACTAGAATTCAAACCCAGGGTGAAAAGTGAGGCTCCAGCCTGAAGCGGGGCTGGACTCTTGGGGAGCGGGGACCAGGGCTCTCACTCCGAGGGCAACAGTGGAATTCAGTCCTAAGCATTTGTTCCGTGGCTGCCCATCGCTGGGCTGCTGTTGGGGATCAGTACCAGCCTCACCAGATGTCATGCAGCAGCCAGGTTTGGGGAGGGGACTGGCAGTTTGGTCCCAAAGGAGAGTGAGGACTGGGAGCATGTGAGGTGGGTGTGCACGGAAGACTCCAGGCTGGGGTCTCAGGAGGAGAGGACCGAGGGAAAGTGAGTCAGGGCCACAGAGAAGGCACCCAGGAAGCCCTCTGCTCCCACCAGCCAGGCGGGCATGAGGGCAGAGCTGGGCAGAGAGGTCTAGACTGGAGAAGATCTTCAGGGAGAACTGGGAAGAAGCCAGAGAAGGAAGGACAGGCAGGGAGGCGGCCCAGGGGTCACTCACCAGGACCTGGGCTGGAGGGGAGGTTTGGGAGTCACGGTGTAAGGGAAGCACTGAGGGGCCAGAGGGAGGGGGCTTCCAGTGGAGGGGGTATCTGGGCACGAGGTGGCCAGTTTGCTAAGTCTGAGACTTGGTGGGGAGGTGACAGCAGAGCCCTGTTTTGCCACCCTGGAGAGTCACTATGAGTGGACATCCATCTCAGAACCCCCTGAGAACCATCTGGTCACTTTTTCACACTTACTTTGCTGCCTTAAGTCAGACATCCTGACTACAGCAGGGCGGGTGGCTACGACCTGCCTCACTCCTGGGTGATCTTACCTGGCACCTGGCACACCCACAGCTTCCTCTGGTTTTAAATGGCTATCCCCTCACCCTCTGCGTTCAAAAGCCCTGACAGTCCTCCCCACAGTCAGCACCACAATTAGACCCAGACCAAAAGGCCCCTGCCTCGTCTGGGCACCCCAAGACCAGGCCCTCCCCCAGCTGTTGATTCGGTGGAGCAAAGGTTCCCCAGGCCAAGGCAGTGTCAGCTCAGAGTCCCAGAACCCCGACCTGAGCTTCCTGCCCACTTCCAGGCCCCTCGGAACTCTTACAAGGCAGGTCTGCCGCTCTGGAGGCGAGGCAGGTGGGCCACCTCACGCCTCACACTGCCCCTTCCTCCCAGCACCCCTGGAGAGGTGCCCGTGTGAGGGCTCAGCCCAGCCCCTCAGAGTGGAGCCGTGCCCAAGGGCGGGGTGTGCTGAGGTCCTAGGCTGGCTGTTCTTGGACAGGTCCTTCTCCTCACTTCCTAATTGGTTCAACGAATGGTGCCAGGACAGGCAGGGCACCACGCCACCGTACAGTGGAGAAACCAAAGCACATGTCTTGGGTGACCTCAGCCTCACCCAGTCCTCTCCAGGGCCTTTTCTGCTGTGGGGGAGCTCTATGGCCACCCTCACCCCCCATCAACTCCACTGCTCCTATAGGGGTGCCTGGCAGCTGTTCCAGGGCCTACCAGCCCCAGGTGTCTCTGGGCGGGTGTTTTTCAGAGGCTGGAGGACACTGTCCTGAGCCCCACCGCCAGCAAAGAAGACCGGACGCTGACCATGCGTGGGGAAGACTGGCAGGCCTCACCCACCCCCCTGCCTGCTCGAATCCGTGAGATCGTGGCCAGCAGCCTGGGCGAGGAGCCACCCCAAGGTGAATAGAGGTGGCGGGGGAAGTGATGAGGGTGCGGAGACACCAGGGGAGCTGCCCAGCCATCGGCCGCAGTCCAGCTTCAGGGAGTCAAGCCCCCATTGTCCCCTATTGGGCCCCTGCTGGCCTGTCAGCTTCCCATGTGAAGGACCACAGAACCACACCCTCCCATAGGCTGGCCCAGGGGTTCATGTGTCACACCCACTTTGTCCTCACTACTAGGCCACAGGGACCTTCCCAAGCCAGCACTGCATTTGTGTTTGTGGAACATTTGTGAGCGCTGGTCTTGGTTTCATCCACATTTGTTTTTCATTAGATGAGGGAAAACCCTTAGGGTTGACACTCAGGAAACAGATGCTGATCAGCCCCCCCTCCCCCAAATCCCATCCCCACCCCAAAAGCTGTGCTCACCCAACCCTGCAGGCCCACTCGAGGCACCTCCTCATTGTCAAGCTTTTCAGCTGAGGAACTGGCCCTGAGGCTGGGCTCCAGCACCGAGGCCACCAGCCTTTGGACCTCAGATCATGCTCATAATTCCAAGCCAGTCTGGCGCCCTCCCCCTCCCCCCCACCCGCCCCTATCCCAGGACCCCTTCGCTACAGAGGGTCCGTGCTGCCCTCTAAAGGAACTGAGAGCTCACTAGGGTGTATTAAGGAAAGAGAAACTCTATGTGTGGTTGGAAAAGCAACTCATTATTCAGGGATGGGATCTGGTTACACTGAATCAGCAGTTCCCACTGCTTCTCAGGGCTGGGGCACCCCCACTAGTTGTAATTGGTTTGGGGCTCACCCTGGGCATCGGTTTGTATTTGGGGTAAGGATGCTGGTAAAAGGCAGGGAGGGAGGCAGGAGAAGGCCCACTGACCAGAGAGCAGGAGAGGCCCAGAGCGTGACGTCTACCTCCCCCACATCTGGTCCCCTGGGTCAGAACAGCCTGCGTGCCATCATAGGGACAGGGTGCTATGGCTGACCCGGTGCCACCTGCAGGGCTGCGGGAGCCACCGGGAGCCTCGGCCCAGGTGCAGGAGGAGAGTGAGCTCCTGCAGGAGGAGCTGTCCCGGCTGGAGGACCTGCTGGCACAGGTGGGTGCCGAGCGGGATGAGCTGGCCAGCAGGTACCATGTGGTCAGCGAGCGGGTAAGTGTTCATCATGGGCACGTGGCAGGCCAGAGCGGGGGCAGCCGGGCCCAGGTTGAGGCGGTCACCCATTGGCACTGTCAGTTGGACCAGTGGGACCATCATCGAGTCTTAGGACATACCTCAGACACGCAACCCAAACCCTGGGCTGGAGGTGGAAGGTGAGGGCAGGATGGTGCCCGGCCACCCCAGGCTCACAGCTCAGCTAAGGCATTGAATTGTGCCCGCCTGCCCAGGAGCCCTGTGGGGGCAGCCTGATCGGTCCTGACTGTTGGCCCATCCACTAGCCCAGGTGAGCCCCAGCACCAGCCCTCAGTCAGCACCTGCCCTAGGTGGGAGGGCGGCAAACGGAAGGAAGCAAGCCCTTTGGAGTCGTGCTGAATTGGCCCTAATACTCAGACCCAGCTTGTGGAGAACTGGCTCAGTCCCAGCCCCCACCCCTTCCTGACAGCTGAGGAACAGCTGTGACCCTTGGCCTGGGTCCTCCATCCTCTGTGCCTTCCAGCGTGTCCGGCAAGCTGCAGCAAGAGGCCGATTTGGTCACAAAGCTGGGAAGGAGGGGGAGGCAGGCTCCCATTGTGCACGTGGGGAAACTGAGGCAGAGAAGTGAAGACACTTGCTCAGAGCCTCTTTCCCATTTCTGCCACCCCCAGACATGATGGCTTCCGAGGCATGACTGGGCGAGGGGGCCCGGCCCACAGTGTGGGGGGCTCAGAGGCCCTGCTGGGTTGGCCCAGCCCCTGCCTTTGCTGTTTTCAGAGACACCTTGCTCCGTGTGTCTCTGGGTAGATGATTCCACTCTCCAGATGAGCAAACAGAGGCTCAGAGCAGCCAGAGTGTCCAGGGCCCTGCTGCCAGGGGCTGAGACCACCACCAGTGACCAATGCTCTGTGGGCCCCAGGGTGGGGTGCCCGAGGGCCCCAGGGTGGGGTGCCCTCTGCCCCAGCTCCCACACTGTGGACACCCATTCTCATGGTTGCCCGCACCACCGGGGGGGCCAGGGCAGGGCCGTGAGGCGAGGGTCCTTCTCATGGGGCCCGGGGCGGGAGCACTTGAGAACACGCTGTGAGCTCGCCTGCCCTCCGGGTCCCGGGGCTGTCTGTAGCCCGCTGGCCATGCGGGTGGGGGATGTTCCTAGCACAGGGTGGGGAGATGTTGGGAACCAGCCAGTGGGAATAGAGGCCACAGAAATCCTGTGGACAGATTAGCAAACCTCATGAGTCAGATCTGAACTCACAGACTCAGCAGCTCAGCCCACGCCCGGGCTCCCTTGCTCAGCACCAAAGAGGCTGAGCCTCCCCCAAGTTACCTGGGTGGGTGGGGGTCAGGGTGGCCAGTGTGACTGTTTCCTGATGTCTCCAACCCCAGTGGCAGCCCCTGCTCCCGCCCCTAGATCCATTTGGCCCCTCCTCTCTCATCAGGGGACACTCACCTCCCCACACACCTGGTCCCAGGTCCTCGGGTCATGCCACAGGTGTGGCCTCCTGCTCTCCTGACCTTCGTATCTCTCAGCCCCCCACCACCTTGCCTGTAGGGCCTGAGTTCTCTCCCCCAGCACCCCAGCGTGCCCTGAGTCAATACATCTTATAGGAACCTGCATCTCCTTTCCCCCTCAGAGCCCCAGGGTCCCCATCTGCTCAGGCTCTGGGGCAGGCCTGGCCCACAGGTGGAGGGTGTGGTCCTCACCCACCTGCTGGATGTGGTGCTGGGAGCAGCAGAGGTGTGAGCATAGGCAGGAGGGGCAGCCAGAGGGTGGGACCCCAAGCTCACTCACTGTCATAGAGGATGACCCCAGGCCTGCTCTGCAACTGGCTATCCTGCCCCCATCCCCCCATGTGGCCAATCCAAACTCTGGAGGCCACCTCCTAAACTGGCCGCACACCCTTGACACAGGACCAGGGTGTGGATGCCCATCCATCTGACCCATCCTGTGGAGGGGCCTGAGCTTCTCCAGACCAGACCCTACCTGACCGCACCAACCCCAGCCCCTTGGGAGGGCTTTGCGCCAAAGCTGCCCCTCCAGGTGGGCTCATGCTCCCCTCTAGCTGCAGGCCCGGCTGCAGACCACCGAGGCCCGGCTGCGGAGGTCAGAGCTGGAGCACAGCGTGGACCTGGAAGAGGCACTGGGCCGATTGGAGGCTGCAGAGCAGAGGTGAGACCAGGCAGACACAGCAGCCAGGGCTGCAGGGAGCTCGGCCATCACCTCAAGAGGCAATGGACCCCACCGGGCCTTAAAGCAGAGGGCCAACCTGCTCCCAAAGTGGCTCTAAGTCGAATTTGCTTGTAGGAATCAGCTGCAGGCTTTAGGGTTTGGGGGGGAGGGGAAGCAGGCAGGGGAGTTGATGGCCCTCTGACAGGCTGTGAGGGTCTCCCTGACCCCACTCCTCGAGTTTGCCCCCCAGGTTCCTGACGGCTGCTGTCGCTGGTGCTCTAGCCAGCGCTGCAGCCGACTGTGGTCCTCGGGTGGCCCAGCCCATCTTGAGGTGCCCATGGTGCTGTCCTCAAACCCCCTCTTCATGCTCTGGCCCTGACTCCCAGGCTCCTTTGGCCTTAGTCATTCTGATTTCATGGCCAGGGGCTCATTTGTTCCCTGTGGTGAGCATGTGATACCCTGGCCTCACAGAGGTAGCCCTGCACCCTAGAGTCCCAACCCTCAGGACACCACCCCAGAAGGACAGGGCCCCCCTCCAGCTCTCTGCCCAGAGGAGCTGAGCCCTCAGTGTCTCCACCTGCAGCCCTGGGGAGGTTCAGGCCCAGGGAGTTCTTCCCGCACTCGCCCAGCCTAGGGGACGGGAAAGGGAGGAGCGTGCTGGGAAGCCCTTTGAGGGGGGCACAATCCGAGTGGAGGCTCACACCCAGGAGCAGAGAACGGCCTCGACGCCTGGCAGGGAGATGCTGACTCTGGAGGGTGGGTTTGGCATCTCTCCACACACAGTCCTGTCCTGGGTGGAGAAGGCTCCCAGGTCACGGTGGGGACTGCCCCTCCCTGTTCTCACCCACTAGCCCTGGTACCCTGGCCAGGTCTCCCAACCCTGCCCCTCTTTCTTGTCTCGGGGTTCACCTCTGCACCCAGGATTGAGGAGCCTGCCACAGTTGTAGGGGCAGAACCAGGAAAGCTCAGGGGGGAGAAGGAGGAGGCCAGAGTGGCATCCAGATGTTGGCCCCAGTGTGGGGGCCATTGGGGACCCATTGCATATGGTCAGCGCTTCTTAAGGGCATGCAGGGAGCTGCACCCTGAGCTGGTTTCGGCTGGGCCCAGGAGGTTCAGGGCCGGGTCTCAGAGCCTCTCTAAGCAGAGCCACCCGCCCACGCCCCCGCCCGCCCAGGAGCACCGGCCTCTCCCAGGTGAACACACTCCTGAGGGAACAGCTGGAGCACATGAAGAAGGCCAACGACACGCTGGCTGAGGAGCTGGCCAGGACGACGGGCAGCGTGCTCCACCTGAGGGGTGAGCTGGAGCGGAAGGAGGCTCAGCGCTGGACAGAGAGACAGGTGCTCCCTCTGCCTCCACCCATGGGCAGGGATAACCCCCCCCCCCCCCCCCCCATGGCAGCGGGGGGCGTGGCCAGCAGGGACCAGGACAGGGGAAGCTGGGATTGCACCCCAAGGAGGCAGAGCCTGGACTGTAAGTGAGACTGTGCTTCAGCTGTGCTTCCTTCTGAGGGTAAGGCACTGGGCTCCTGCCACGCCACATCCCCCATGCTGCTTGGCCACAGCAGTCTGCAGAGTGGGGTGCTCCAGGGTAGGGAGACTTCCTGCTTGAGAGCAGAGGGCAGGACCCAGGCCACACCTGGCTCCAGCTTGCCCATCTGTTCCAGAGGCCTGCCTTCTGGGCAGGATGCAGCACGTGGCTCCCCGCTCCTGGCCAGGGCCAGCAGGGCCACGAAGCCTTGCCTGGTCACAGTTGTCTGAAATCCTAAGCCCTGAGTGGGGAGGAGAGGGCAGGGCAAAGTGCTGCAGGCGCAGCCTCGGCAGGAGGGAGAAGCTGTTCTTCGTCAAAGGTGGTCACCGACAGCAGGACTTTCTGGACTTTACTCTCTCTCCCCTGAGCCGAGGTCAAGGAGATGTGTTGAGGTTGCTCCATTTGGTAAAAGCTGCCTACATTCCTCTGACTTGATGGGTTTCTGGCCTGCATGTTCCTCACCACGTGGGCCAGACCAGCCTCCAGTTCAGGACTAGTGAAGTGTGGAATCTGAAGGGTGTCGGTGTAGTCCCTGCGAAGGCTGGTTCAGGCAGCTGCTCCTGCACTTGCCGGGCAAGCAGCTTATTCCACACACACACCGAGGACCCGGTGCCAGGCACTGAGGGAACTCCCAACACAAGGCGCCCAGCAAAGTGTTTGAGCCAATGAGGAGACCTGGGTCGTGGGGTCAGGGCAGGGGATCAGCAAAGGCTTTTCCTGAAGGGAAAGGGCCAGGCCACACACCTGGACATCCTAGGAACCTCCCAGAGTAAAAGCCACCCTCCGTTCTGGAGAAGGAGGCAGAGCCTGGACTGTAAGTGAGGGTGTGGGGAAGGGGGGAGGGGAGCAAGCAGGGGGGATGCATGAGAGCTGATGGCTGCAGAGATGCTCCAGAGATGCCTCTCACTCCAGAGGGCCAGACTGAGTGGGTCCTGACCTGGGCAGAAGCTGGTCACCTTCACAGGCCCTCTGGGGGTAGCAGATTGCATTATTGTGAAAGATGAGCCCCTTGGGCTGCAGGACAGGGTAGGGGGTGTGGGGTCTGGCCCAGTGCGACAGCTAGAGGAACGGGTCACAGGGCTTCTCACTTCCCAGGCCTGGCCTGCACCTGAGGTGGTCCCGGGCCCCTTCCTTTCAGACCCGGCGTTCACGCCTTGGGGTGCAATCCCAGGATTTCCTCCTCCTGTGGAGACAGGTGACAGCGCTCCGAACACACCTGGCTGAGCTTCGATCTGCCTTTGAAAGGTGAGCCAGCCGCCCCCTCAGGGTGTAGGAGAAGGGGCATCTGATGGTGGCCCAGGTATTGGGCCCTCCAAGCTGCTCCCATGGAGGAGCCATTCTGGCTCACAAGCCACTGTCCCAGTCCTGCTGGGCCTCAGGGGGCCCTGGGAGGTGGAGGGTGGTAGGGTTGAGAAGCACTAATGCACAGAGGGAGGGAGGGGGTGCAGGGCAGAGATGACAGAAGGGGAGGAGCTGCACAGTACAATTTCCAGTTCCTCTAGTCCTTGCCAGGCACCTCTTGGGTCTGCCCTGAATTACTGAGGGACCTGTCAGCACCTCAGTTGCACACAAGGAAACTGGGCTCAGAGGGTTCATGTCCTTCCTCTGTGGCCTTGCTGAGCCCCTGCTCACCCCTCTCTGGGTGTGACATGGGGACCTTTGATAACACACAGTAGGGGCCTCTCCTAAGAATGGGGGGCGGGGGGAGGAAAGGGGGCGGCTGAGGGCAGAGAACAGGACCCATGTGACCATACCCTGCCCCTCCTAGCCAGTGGGAGACTTTCAGGGCCCTGAGCCCACAGCTGGCCCTGAGGTTCCGCTGGGGGTGCTGCCTTGTTCCCAGGAGTCTCACTGACATGCAAGCAGAGGCAGCCAGGACAGCCCGGCGCCTGCACACGGCCTGCCTGAACCTCAACTCCAACCTGCAGCTGTCGGCCAGCAGCGCGGCAGGCGCCCTGAAGCGGCAGGCCTCACAGGGTGCTTGGCTGGAGCAGCGGCTGCAGGACAAGGTGCGGGAGATGCTGCAGCTGCAGGGCCGCTGGGACGCAGAGAAGGTGGCACTGCAGGCCAGGTGGGTGCCCGAGCAGCTGTCGCACAGTGGAGGTCTGGGAACAAGGGTGCCCAGCAGCCAGGGTTCCAAGTGGTAGGCAGTTGTCATTCCAGCTGCCATGTGGCATTCCCGCAGGTAGGCAAGCTAAACCCCTTACAGCCCTGCAGGCCAGAGGTAGAGCTCCCGACTCTGAGGGTCTCCATGGACACTGCATTGGACACGCATGGACTGTCCTTGGGGCTAAAGGCACGTCCTTCCGGGGCAGACGCTTGCTTTGTCAGCTGTTTGAGAAGCAGAGGCAGACAGTGGGCCGGGCCCATCGGTGGTCCATGAGCCTCAGAGGAAGCATGGGATGTTCTGACATATGTTTCCTTCAGCAGAAAGCAGGGCGATAGCTCCCCGCTGAAGGCACAGAGGGAGGATGGAGGTGCAGGGCAGAGATGACAGAAGGGGAGGAGCTACACGATACAATTTGTGGGGCACAATTCCACAGCATCGGGTGCCCGGGACTCATGGCCACAGACACCCTGCCGGGCTGACAGGTTGGGGCCCACCCTGCACACAGGGGAGCAGGAGTTCATGGGGTGTGGACAGTCCCGTACATCCTGCAGGGGCAGCACTCCGGGCCTGAGCAGAGTAGTCTGGGGTTGTAGGGAAGTCAGGGGCTTTGAGAAGAAGGTGGGTCCTGGGAAAGAGGGTGTTAGACTTGTGGTGGCAGAGGCCGTCCCGGCAGGCCAGTGGCGGGCAGAGGCCCACATGAGCTCTGCACCTGCTGGCCCCATGGACAGGGCAGGGCCTCAGAAACTGAGTCAGGGTCAGCGTGGGCCCTTGAATCCTGACCTTGGGGTCTGCGCTTTACTCAAGACAGTGGGAGCCATTGAAAGTTCTAGGAGAGAGGTGTCGGACCAGACCAGGGGCTGAGATCCACTCAGACAGATGTGGCCAAAGCCGGAGGCCCGGCCACACCACAGGAGGAGTCTGATTCAGCCCGGGGGTCTTCAGGGCCCACCCGTGCCCTGTGCTCTGTGCCCTGTGCTGATCACCCTGCCCCCTGCCCCCGACTTTTCTGCAGACTCTCCGAGCAGAAATTGCTGGTAGAGAAGCTCACAGAACAAAACTCGGAGAAGGAAAGGACCATTTCTTCCCTCAGAATGGATGTTCAGAAACTGGTGCGTGGGGCTGGGGATGTGGTGGGATGTGGGGGCTCTGGGGCGGGAGCGTCTGCCGCCCTGCTGAGGGGTCTGCCTGGGCGCAGGAGTCCTGGCGCAGTGGAGGCCGGCTGGCGGCAGACAACTTGAAGGAGGAAGTGGAGTCCCTGCGGCGTGTTTTGAACATCATCACAGAGGTGCAGGCCATCTTGGGTCCCGGGGGGTCCAGCTGCTGTGGGGGATAACCTGGGAGGTCCCCACTGGACATGGCCCTGAGCCCTCTCCCCACCCTGTGAAGGTGGCCCAGGCGGACTCGAGGTGCCCAGAGCTGGCACAGAGCAGCGGCACTGACATGGAGAAGGTACAGAGTCCACTGAGGAGCCCCCCACGTGCCTCGTCCCTTCAGTGGGGTGCATCTCCACCATGGGCCCACTCCCGGGCCAGCCCAGACCCTGCGCTGCGGGCTGTGCAGGCAGCTATTGAGAGGAGGCGGCAGCAGGAACAGGTGGGCAGCCACCAGAGCTGTACCCTGTCCCCACGGGGGTGTGAAACCCGTGAGCCCCACGGCCCCAGGGAGGGGGCTCTGCCCTAGGTGCATCCTTTCTGGGGGGTCTGTGGTCAAAGGCCTGCCCAGGCTGGAGGGCGCTCATTCTACCCCTCCCCCACCCCACCCCGAGCAGGAGCTGCGTCTACAGCTGAAGTCCTCCCAGGCGGTGGCAGCCAGGCTCCGGGAGCAGCTGTCAGAGAGGCAGCGGGAGCTGCGAGCCTCCCAGAGGCTCCTGCAGGAGCAAGAGCAGGACCGGAGGGACCTCCTGGACAGGCTGGAGGCACAGAGCCAGAAGGCACAGCACTGCAGGGCAGCCAGCGAGCTCCTGGAAAGGTGGCTGTCCTGAGGGCTGGGCAGGGTGGGTGAGCTGATTGGGTCAGGCTTGGACAGAGTGGGCAGTCCCAGCTTGGGGACGCTTCCCCCATAAGCCTTCCACATAGGAGGGATTGGGCCATAGTTCTTGGGAACGGGTGGGCCCCTTCACATGGAGGGATCAGGGCTAGATTTAAGGGCATTTTGGAAATGGGTGCCTTCAGGGCCAGGGCCAGAGGGTGCACCTGAGGTTCAGGTCCCTGGCTGGAGGGTGACATGCGGCAAGGACTCTGAGTGGGTCAGCGCTGAGCACACGGGGAGCTGGATCTGGAGGGTCCAGGCCTGTGAGGACAGGTGAGCAGTACAAGCAGATGTGGAGCTGGGGAAGGTGCAGGTGGAGAGATGTCTTCCATCCAGCAAGCTCTGCAAAGAATGGTGGAGCCAGGCCTGTGGGTGGCAGAGGCTGAGCACAAGGATGCACCAGGAGCCTCTGCGTTTTAAGGACTCCCAGGGCCACCAGGAGGGGACAAGTTGCTGGCCACCCCATCTTGTAAGGCTGTCCTGGGGCTGGAGGTTGCTGGATCTTCCTCGTCCCTCCCCACACTTCCCTGAGCTCCTGCCCCCAGGAGCCCTCATGCCTGGTGCCCACCCTACGCGTCCGTCAGCCTGGCAGTGGGCTAAGGCCAGAATGTGTCCAGTGTGGGTCTCCAGGCTCCCCTCCTCCAAGGCTGCCCCAACTTGGCCTCCCCTGCTCGCAGAGAGAAGAAGGCTCTGGAGTTGGAGGTGGAGGAGCTAAGGGACAAGATGGATATTTGGGACATGGACAAGCAGAAGCGGGAGGCAGAGAACGCTGAGCTGCAGAGAAGCCTCCTGCTCTGGACACAGCAGAAGGAGGAGCTGGAGCAGCAGGGCGAGCGGGGCCGCAGGGAGCTGCAGACCAGGTGGGCCTCAGCGTCCTCATCCACTAAAGCAGTGGTCTACAAACCACGGCTCTCGAGCCGCAGTTTGCCACTCTGTTGACTAATGAGTTTGCCGACCGCTGTCATATACTACCCTTTTCCTCTTTGCACACAATATGCCACAGTTGCCTAGTCCTCACAGCTTGCAACTACACGGTAACATTTAGTCTAGTCCAGTGGTTGGCAAACTCAGTCAACAGAGCGGCGAACCGCGGCTCACGAGCAGCATGTGGCTCTCGAACCTCGGTTTGCCGACCACTGCACTAAGGGAACCGCTTCCTTAGCAACCTTATCTGCGGGAGTGGGGGCACCCAGTGAGACAGCAGGGGTGACAGGCTCTCCAGGCTTCCTGAAGGTTGAGCCATCGCCCCAACACCCACCCAACATCCACCCAGTGCCTGCCCCAGCACATCCACCACCTCCGGCCCAGGAGAGGGGGTGTCCCCAGCATGTGTGCACCCAGGTGAGTCCACTAAGGCATGAACAGAGCCAAACTCCCACCCAGGAAACAGGGTCCTGGTTCGGATGCCACCCTGTGGACTCACCAAGTCCAGGCCTCCAGAGTGACCTGGGCTCCTCTGGGGCTCCCTGGGTTTGGAGGAAGGTGCAGGCAGCCACCCTGCCTACTAGCTCCTGTGAGATGGCCTGTCTTGCCTTGAGCCAACCTCACACCCTCTACCTCTGATTTGGGACCTTAGTCAAGGGCGCCTGGAGCAGCTGGAGGAGAAGGTCTCAGGGCTCAAGAAGGAGCTGGTGTCGGCCCGGGAGGCACTGAACGCAGCCCAGCTACAGAGGGACATTCTGGAGAGTGAGAGGGAGGCCCTGCATGGCACGCTGGCCCGGGTATGCCTCTGTCTCCCACCTCTCACGTGTCTCTCCCACCAGCCCATCCTGTCACCTCTCCTGGCCACAGCCTTAGTACTCAGAGGGCTGCTGTTTACCCCAGAGGCCTCCTCACTTTGGGATTCCCTCCCCACACCCGTCCCACCCAGACCTCCAGCTCGCACACCTCTATGACAAGGGGCTGACTCCTTCCCTGGCACCAACAGCTCTGCCTGGGAGAAAGTTCCTCCTGTGAATCTGAAAGTCCCTCCCTGGCATCCCTCCTTAGAGTGACTACTGCCCGACCCCTCCCCACCCTAGGCTGAGTCCAGCAATGCTGACCTGGAATTGCTTGTGACCCAGCTGAAGTCAGAGGGGGTGCAGCAGAGGGACTCCCTGGCCAAGATGGCCACTCTGATGGAGGGCCTGGCGAAGGACAAAGGCAGCCTGACCCACCTGGTCCTGCAGGTGAGATGGTGGCCCATGTGAGCAGCCCTTCCCTGAGCCTCACATTCCCCAGGGTGGCCATGAGATTCTGGTCTCTGAGCCTAAAATCCTCCCTGCACCCATCTCCCCCCACCTTTTCCATTCCCGGACTGAGCACAGGTTTGTGGAGAGGCCCACATAGGGACAGTGGGCCTGGCCGGGCCTGTGGGAGGGAAGGCCATACACACCAAGGCAGTCCAGGGAGAGATGGTCAGCCCATGGAGGCACAGGTGTGTGAGGCACGGTCTGGATGCTGACTCCCCCAACACCTCTCCCCCCGGCAGCTGCAACAGGAGGGAGACCAGCTGCGGGAGCAGAAGCAGGTGCTGAGCCAGGAGCGGGCAGATGCCAAGGAGCGGTTGGCACTGGCAGAGCAGCAGCTGGAGCAGCTGGAGGGGCAGGCCGACCGGCTCCAGCATGAGAGAGCCCAGTTGCAGGAGCAGGTGGGCCAGGTGAGAGGTCTGCAGGGGCTCCTGGCTCTGGCCCCACCCTGCAGGGTCATCCCTTACCCTCTGTGGTGTGGATGGGTTACAGCTCACCTTACCACATCACACTCAGGATGTCAGCACCGGTGCTTTCTGACTGCAGTGCTGATTGGCTCAGCTGCATTCAAAGGCAGGTTCCCTGTGGTGGGGGTAGAGGACAGGGGATGCGTATGCAAAGAAGAGCCCTTACATCATACCTGCCACCAACCTTTACATCATACCTGCCACCAGTGCAGAGGCTGAGTTCTGCTCCTCCTTAGGGGTCAGAGGCCCAGTGACTCCACACACTCGGGGCTAAAAGGCTTCGCTGCTTTTTCCTGCATGCTGTTTCCTTTCGTCCACATCTGGATTCACTGCACTAAAGGAACTGCTTCCTTAGCAACCTTAGTTCTCTCAGTCACTGATTCCCAGATCTTCTATTGACATAAATCTTGTCTAGTATCTGTTCAAATATTCTCTCTCCTCTCCCTCTGCAACTTTAATTATACATATGTTAGGCCTTGCCCTATGTGTCTGTTACATTTTTTTCTGTATTTTCCATCGTGTTTTTTTTGTTTGTTTGTTTTTGTTTTTCATGATTCAGTCTGAATGCATTCTTTTGTCTGTCTTCCAGGTTATTAGTCTTCTGTCTAATCTGTCACTGAAACATTATATTTATTAATTTTGGTTATTGTGTTTTTTTAATTATGTTGTTTATATTTTGTTTCTAGTTCTAGGGCAAAATTCTATATCTCCCCATTCACCTTCTTGAACATTTAATCACAGCTAATTTAAAGTTTGAAGAGACAGGGACGTATCTGTGTTTATTTGATGTTTTTACACATGGTTTTTGCCATATGATCTTATCTCCTGATATTCCTGGTAATGTTGATCAAATGTCAGTTATCATACTTTAAAACTATAGAACTAATTTGATGATGCTATTCTTCCAGAGAGGATTTGCTTTTGATTCTAGCAGGTAGTGAGGGTAGGTGATCACCGTAATTCATGATTGAGGGATGGTCTGTTCTGATCACCTCTACTACTAGGGTGAAGCCCTTCCATGCGTACAACTAGCAATCTGGGGTGTTTATCAGGACCCTTCTGCTTCAAAGGCTCTGAATTTAAGTTTTTGTCCTCCTAAAATCATAATATTGCTGGAAGCTATCCTTGACTTCCCAATTTCTCAGCCTAAACTTTTAACTCAGCACACTCTCTGAAGAGGGACAAGATACCTAATGGTGGGCTAAATCCCTTCTCTCCAAGATCTCAGATCCTTCCATCCCAGCTGATCTGTAGCCCCAGGCCTTATTCAGATTCCATTATGTCTTTTGTCTAGCTTTTTGTGATGTTCTTGGTGGAAGTGTTAGTCTGTAGCAACCTGGTTCTCTGTCACCTTCTACTGCCATTTCTGTGCAATTTTTCCTGCCCCCCTGGACACTTGTGGTCTAACCAAGATTAACATGTGGACTGGGAGCTGGGCATGCTCAGTTCAGTAACGCCTCCATCATGGTCAGAGGAATGGAGGCCCCTCTGCTTTGTTAGCACGAGAGCACTCTGAGTCCCATGTGTCTCATATTCACTCTCCTCTATCTTCCATGCCATTCTACATGATGCCATTCTCCTGAAGTCTGCTTTACCCTGAAGAGGCCCCACTCTCTCTTTCTCTGCTGGACTCTCTCCTTCCTCCTCCTCTAGGTCACATGCAAGAAACAGGCCCTGGAGGAGCAGCTGGCCCAGAGCCTGCAGGACCAGGAGGCCCAGATGGACACTCTCCGGACGGCCCTTCAGGAGAAGGAAGCTTTGTTGGAGGAGCGAGCTCAGCTGCTGGCCAAGCAGGAGGCCCTGGAGAGGCAGGGCCGGCTCACGGCGGAGGAGGCAGCTGATCTCAGGTACCCAGGGGCCTATCGGCAGGGTGTGTGTGCCTGGCCTTGCCTCAGAGAGAATGCAGTGGCAGGGGACAGGCATTCACCCAGCAACTGTAGGGCAGGGAGGGTATGTCTACATGGGAGAGAGACTGTGAGTGAGGTGGATCCCGTAAGAGTCCTGGGTGACCTTCCTGTGAGAAGTGGCTGCACTGGCACAGAATGACATAATGGAATGTCTTACTCATGGATCTGAGAAGTTCAAGGTGTGCATGGCTTCAGGCAAGGCTAGATCCACAGTGCCCGCAGGACCCTTCCTCTCCCTCCTCAGCGCTGCTCAATCCTGAGGAGGTCTGCTTTAAGGGCTTAGGGTGAGAGGTGGCAAGATGGCCAGTGGCTACTCCAGGCTTCCTCGTCTAGCAGACACAGAGTGCCCTTCTCCCCACAAGGGCCAAGAGTTGCTGCCATTAATCATCGTGAGCGACTTCATGTCCCTGAACCAGCTCAGTGAGTCAAGGGCTCAGATAGGCTGGCCGGGTCATATGCTCATCCCTGGAGTGGGGGTGGTGTCAGCCCCAGGGAGCCACTAAGCAGCGAGCGGGGCCACAATGAGCTCAGTGACCATGGGGCCACTTCCAGAAGACAAGGAATGGGCGCTTTAGGCCACCCCAGGGGTGCCCGGTAGACTGTTGCCTGGTGAGCTGATCTGGTCCCGTGGCCTCTGTGGAAACCCAGAGCTAGTGGCTTTCTGGACCTCATGGCCCCTTCTCAGGAACATCCAAGTCCTTTTCTAGGAAAGATTTCCTCCTGGAATGCCAGAATCTGGGGGTCCTTGTACATCTTCACAGATAGTCCTCTCCTCAAAATGAAAGCTTTTGTAGAAATGGATAAAACCTGACTGAGGCCAGAGTGGGTTGTCAGAAGCAGAGGGTCCCAGGACCCTGCCCACCACCACCTCCTAGGCCCACAGTGCTCAGGGGGCAGAGGTGGCCCCATGGTCACTGAGCTCACTGTGGCCCCGCTCACTGCTTAGTGGCTCTCTGGGGCTGACACCACCCCCACCAGCAGTTTTGGGAACCTGGGATCCTGCACTAACTCAACCCTGACTCTTGGGCCCAGGACCCCTGCACAGTCACATGCCCACCAAACAGCATTTCAGGATGAGCCATCTGAGCTGCTGATGACAGGGCTGCTCGGGACATGTCCTGAAACCATGTCTGCCTGAGACAAACCGTGTGTGTTTATCTCACTGGAGGTGGGTGGGGGCGACTGTCTAGCCACCTCAGTTTTCCTGAGTTCCCAGACCATGTTGATAACTACTCGGTGTGAGCAGTCCTTCTCCAGGTCTCCTGGTGAAACCTTCACAGTCGGTTTGATGTGGGAGGAGCCCAGGCCCTGGGGACACTCCCTCAGTTCACAGGTGCCAGCATGCTGTTCAGCCAGGGAGATGGACTAGGTTCCCTGCCTGCATACCCCACGCTCACCCTGGCTGGCCTGGGGAGGCTGAGCTGTCCGTGGGTTCCTGTAGAGGGAAAGACTGGAGATGCCCTTTGATTCCAGCCTCCAGGTGCAGATTCTGAACAGCAGAGACCCGGAGGGCTTCTGGGAGGAGACAGGTTCAAGGTAGGAAAAGCTGTCTAGGTAGAGAGAGTGGGAACATGTGGGTGCTGACCAGGTAGGGACTGGAGAGGTCTCAGAGAAGCGAAATTTCTAGGCTCTGTAGATATCAGGCCACTGGAAAGTGTGGAAGTGCCTAACCCCCAATAATGGTGGTAGTGGTGAGCAGGGAGAACCTAGCAAGACTGCCCAAGGCCCATGGCCCGGCCTGGCTCATGGGCTATGGTGGGGCTGCGCATTGGCCATTGGTGTGCTCATATGGGTATTTGTGTTCCATGTCTGTGGTGTGCTCGTGTGTCACCCAGCACAGCAGAGCAGAGTAACACTTAAAACAGGCTCACTGGCTGGTTGATGCTAATGGGTTGGCTATGTTCAAGCCACCTCCCCAGAAATGGGGGTGCTGCCAGGGCTGTGCTCGTTGCTCATCCCAGGTGTCTTCTGGGTGTTTGTACATGTGCAGAGGCGCAGAGGCAGCTTCTCCTATAATGGAGCCGCACGTGTGAGGTTCTGCTTCTCAGGGCCATTCTTTAGGAGATAAGAGTTTCCTCATCCTCCTTACGACTGACACTGTGTCATCATTTCCACAACACTCTGCCACCGCCAGCTCTGAAGACAAGTGCCGTTCTCCAGCCACAGTGAGCACCCTGTGCAGCGTTGTTGGTCCCGTGTGCTGCCAGGGTGCTGACACCTGAAGGTGGGGTGGCTGCCTCGAGGTTAGGCCCTGGATATTATCATTATTTCAGTCTTTTGGTAATCGAATGCCTGGTCGTGGTTTTCATTTCCTTGAGTGCTGAATAGAGTTGAGCAAATTTCATATGTTTAACCATCTGTGGATTTTTTGTGAATAACAGTCATTTTTCTCATTTTTCTGTAGTGTCAGCTGACTTTTTGTCATTATTCGTAAGAGCTTTTTGTATGTGATGGATATGGACCTTGTGTATATTTAGTCCAGATTTTTTTCTTCAAGACTGTGCCTTGTCTTTTAAGTTGGTTTGTGGAATCTTCATGAAAGCTCTCCTTTCCTATCTTTACGTATATTCAGACGTATCAGCATCTTTATTTTTATCTTCTGGTTTTTGTGTCTTTCTTAAGATTATAAAATATGCTTCTGTATTTTTTTCTTCCATCTTTATAGTTCTAAGTATTTTAGTTGTTTTGTTTTTGCATTTTGCTTTTAATCCACCTGAAATGGTTTTTTGTGTGGGGTCCATTTGTTTTTACAGATTTAAGATGAAGGAAATGTCCTCTGTTTATTCTCTGACTTACCAGCCTGGCCTTGGGAAGTGCTGTCCGGCCAGCAGCAAACGGGATCGCTTGGTGACTGGCCCACTGTTTGATGGTTCTCCACAGGGCCGAGCGGGATGTGCTGGAGAGCAGCCTCTTTGAGGCCCAACAGCTGGCAGAGCAGCTGCAGACACAGCAAGAACATCTGGAGGGGGAGGCCCAGAGCGCCCGGCAGGCCCGGCAGGCCCTGCAAGGTGCTCCCGCAGCTCCCGCCTGTCTCTCCTCTCCCCACATGGCCCAGAGGAGCTCTTCCATGGAGCTCAGTCCCAAATTGTTGCTCCCACTGCCTGGCCCCCCAGGAAGGGCACCAACTTAGGCCTGGAGCTTCTGTGGCTGAATGGGTCCCTCTGTGAGGGGTGGCCTGCCCAGTCTACTTCCCAGGGTCTAGACCTGGGTCCTTGTGGCAGCCCCTGCCCCATTCCCTGAGCTCCCACCCCTGCTCAGCCCACCTCACCATGTGTGACTCACCCAGCCCCTAGGCCTGGCCATAGCCAGAATACACGCTGTGGTGGGATTTGTCCCTGCCTGCTTGGGCTGGGTCCGCAGAGCAGGTGGCTGTCCTTCCACAGGGGGCTTGCCCAGGCCATAGGGTGTTCCATGGCATGGGGCCCTGTGGCCAATCCTGGATACTTCTGTCACTTTGCAGTGGAACTGGAGCAACTGAAAGGCGCCTGGGAGGTCCAGGAGACAAAGCTGGAATGGGACTTAGGGCAGCTGCGGCGGCAAATGGCGCAGCAGGAGCGGGAAGCACAGCTGGCCCTGGAGAGCCAGGCGGTGGCCCATTGTGAGGACCTCGCACGGCTCCAGAGGGAGAAGGTCTGCTTCCCTAGGCCACCAGCCGCTGCCACTCCTGGGAGCTTACATATCCCAGATCATGGCAGACCCTCAGGGAAGGGGTCCTGGGAGACGAAGCAGGAGGCAGAGGTGCTAGGCCACACTCAGGTGGGGGCCAGAGAGGACCCTTCATAGGTAAGGTGGGCAGCTAGGGTCATGGGGCTGAGCCTGCGTGGCTATGTCCTCTCCTTCGAAGGAGGGGCCAGCTGTGGGCACTGGCTGACCTGGCTGCAGTTTGAGGGCTGAAGCTTCATCGCCCACCCGAGCCATCCCACTGGTCACAAGCTCCTGCAGGCCTTGTTTGACAAGCCTGCACACATCGTGCATGTCACTGGTGCGTGGTATGCCGTGGAGGCTCAGGAAAGGCCTTTGAACTGTTAGTTCATGTCAGATAGAGGAGGTCGATGTGGAGGCCCAGAGAGCCCCTTTGCAGCTCTTGCTTCAGTGACACTGTGTGTGAGACAAGGGGCTTGCAGCCAGCTTGACAATCCCTAGGGACCTGTCTTGCCCTGGAACCCCATGAACCAGATCTCACTCAGACCACAGGCACCTATTGGTCTCACATGTCCCGACCTATTTGGTCCTCACAGCCTGCCCTTTTGTCTTGGCCCAGGAGACCCTCAGCCTGTCTCTGACAGAGGAGAAGAAGGTGGCAGCGTGCAGGTTGGAACAGGAGAAGGAGCTGGTGGCAAAAAGTGCAGCCAAGAGGGAGGCTCTAAAGGACGAAATTCAGAGCCTGAAACATGAGCGGGATGAGAGCCTTCTCCAACTAGAACATGAGATGCAACAGGTAATGGGGTACTATGAGGCAGTGGGTGTCCTCACTTCCACCTTACCATGCCTTCTCTGGCCCAGCAAGAGGGCTTGGTAAGGGAAGCCTTTCCAGGTCACTGCTATTGTAGTGTTGGTCTTCCACAGCAGTACTGGAGGATAGACATTCACCCACCCACCTATCCACCTATTCATCCAGCCACCCATCCATCCATCTATCCATCTACCCATCCATCCACCCATCTATCCATCCATCCATTCACCCATCCCTTTATTAACTATCCATCCTTTCATCTGTCTATCCATCCATTCATCCATCTGCTCATGTGTCTATCTGTCCATCCATCCATACACTCAACTGTTCCATTCATTCACCTGACACTATTTGTCTATCCACATACCCAGCTGTCCACCCACATCCATGGCTATCTCTCCACATACTCAATTGTCTATTCACACACATCACTGTTCATCAATTCATCAATTTGCTTGACTATCCATCCAGCTGTTCATGTACCCAGTCATCCATCAAAATGACTATCCAACCATTCACTTGACCATCCATCTATTAAATAGATTATATTTTTTCATTTAAACAGCCTTCTCTCTGTCCACACACTCAGCTGTCCATTCATAGCCACCATTCATCTACCTGACTATTCATCCATCTATCTGATTAGCCAGCCATTCATCCAGCCACTCTTCTGACCATCTTTCTATCCTCCAGATATTGATGCAGACCCTGGACATGTAAAAGTTACCCTCTGAGTCCAGGCTCTTCATTTTACTGTGACACCATGAACTATTCACTGTTCAGTGAGTGGAAGGACAAGTAAATGTAGCACATGTGTTGTCACACAATGTGATAGGACTCTCAAGTGTTGGCACAAATTACAAACCACAGGGGATGGGTTCCAGTAGCAGGAGTCACCAAGGCTTATTGTCAGAATCCATGCATTTCTAATTTTATTCTCTCAGCATTCTGAGGTACATGCTCTCATTAGCCCCATTTTACTGATGAGAAAAGTAAGGTTCACATATGGTGACCACCTTGCCCCAGCTTGCACAGTACACTGGGCTCTGTGCTCTCAGCTGTTGCACTCTTCACTTTCTGAGGAGAAGAAAGAAGAGGCTTCGCAGCCGTGGTGGCATTAGGGGAGGGAGAGTAAGACTGTAACGGAGGAGCAGGAGGTAGTGGGGAAGGGGTGGAAGGGAATGTCTGGGGATGGCACAAAGGACTGTGCAGAAACGCCGAGGTTCAATGATTCCCCAGAATGATCTAGGGAACTCAAGAAAGTGCTACACTTGCTAGTATGATTACAGAGTTATTTAAAGGACACAAACCAGGACCACCCCAATGAAGAGACATGTGGGATGAGGTCTCTCCCCTGAAACCAGGGTGCATCACATCTCATACAGGTGCACGCAGGTCTCCAGGCCTCCTGTCCCAGTGGGCCTGGGCCTCCAGAGACCCATGCACTTGTGACTTTGATGGTCGTTGATGAATTCCTTCCACCTTCTGCAGCCCTGTGGGGAGCGCTCACCTGCACCCCTCACCCTTAGTGACACAGCATTTTCAGAGGTTCAGAATCATTAGGGGTCCCCACTCTGTGCTCTGTAGGAATTGGTGACTGGAGGGGTTGGAGGGCTCCAGGGAGAAGGGTTCTGTGAAGGAGCAGGTGCATGGTGGGGAAGAGGTAATGCACCTGGTGGGGTGGGGGACTGCCTGAGTGCAGGCACGAAGGCTGGACCATGTCATATGGGGTAACAGGATCCCACCCCCACCCCAGACATCACTGTCTCTGGGGGTGCCGCCCCTCCAGAGCAGGGATGTAGAATCTGGAACATGCTGCGTCCCGCCAAGGGCTTCAGCACCCAGTAACCCACTGTCATGCCAGGCCCTGTCTCTGAAAGAAGCAGAAAGGAGCCTGCTGCAGCAGGAGCTCTCCCGGGCCGCTCAGAGGCTGAAGCAGGTGCAGCAGGAGGCCCGCGGCCAGCAGGAGCAAGCAGAGGTGAGCCGTGTGTGCCCCCATCAGCCAGAACCCAGGCACTGGCCTGGCCACCTGCAATGCCCAGAAGGTGCTGGCAGAGCCCCAGATGCACCCTTCCCACCTCATCCCAGGTATACACCCCCCTTGGTCCCCTCTGAGCCTCAGTTTCTCTTGGGTTCTCCAGGCTTTTTGCTGGGAGGGAACATTGTCTTGTTGGGAAGGAAAGGCTGATGAAACCAGTCCCTGCCCCCACAGAAGGCACCAGGGACTCCACATAAACCAGCATCAGAGTGGGCAGAACCCAGGCCTGTGCCCCCAATCCACTGGCCCCAGCCTTGCCTGTCTGTACACTTGAACACAACTGCAGGAAATCTGACTCTCTGGAGGGGCCCCTTTCAAAGAAGAAACCAAATCAGAGGAAGGACAACCAAGGAAAATCCCATAGAGCCTGGAGTGAGGCAGCCACCATGGGCTGGGAGAGACCCCAGGAGGCAGCTGCCTGCCCTTGACCAGGGGACAGAGGCCCACGTGTGCCTGGAGACTGCTGCAGGCTGCAGCTGGGTTACGTGAGGCTCCTGAGTGCTCTTCAGGAGCCTATGTCTAGGGCAGGACAGGCAGCAGCAACTAGGACTCTGGAGAGGGGAGGGAAAGCAATTATGGGGGCGTGTGCTCACCCCATGGATGGGACTGAGCACCCACTGCCATTGCTGGCAGGGTGGCCTCAGCCCATTTATAAAGTGGGCAATGGAGAGGCACGGGCCCACTCACAGGAGGTGGTCAAAGCAAGGTGCTATGAAACAGATGGAGAGGGATCTCAGAAGCGCTGGCTGCACTTGGGGTCAGACAGCTGTCCTGGGGCTGGCCCTGAGCAGCCACAGGCTGCAGGTACCCTCCAGGACACTGAGGGGGACACAGCTCCACCTCTCGCTGCACCCACACAGCCTCATGGGGCCAGCTCCGTCCCCTCTGCTCTGCCTTTGTCCCACCAGCCCCAGTCACCTTTCTGTTCCAGTGCTGCTCTTTCACTTTTAACCTCGGTGACCCCTGTCACCCTGCCCCCTGGCATGTCCTCGTCCCAACAGCACAGTCACATGCTCCCTGGCCTTGAGTGAATGAGTCAGGAGTTCGAGAATGAGTGCGTGGACCACTGTGGACTTCTCTGCCAGGCCCGGAGCTTCCTTCCTGGGCTGCAGGGCAGAAAGGCCTGGCTGGGAGGCCATGAGTTCACTGTGGCCTATGGACAGGGGGCAGGGGCCTGTGTGGTGGACAAGGGGCTGCTCTTAGGAGTTGGTTGCCAGGGTGTCTCTGTCCCCTCCTGCCTGCCGGGCACCCAGATCCCCGTCACTCTGAGCAGAGCTGGGGAGGATCTCCGGCACCGGCACCAGCACTCAGGGGAGCCTTGCCCAAGATCCTCACTCCCTGGATCCCTGTCAGGCTCTGTCCCACCCCCTAGCAGATGGCCCTTCCATGTGCACAGCCAAGAGGGGAGTGGGGGGCCCTGGGACTGTGTCCTCCTTCCTCCCCCCCCCCCAGTTGCTCCTTTAACCCTCCCCTCAGGCAGCAGGAAACTAAGAAAGCCCCCCAGACCCTGGGAACTCCCCCAGCTCTCAGGGGGCCTCCCTCACTCTAGCTGAGTGTCCCCTTGGATGGCCTGCCAGCCAGCAGGTCCTTCAGGGAGCTCATTAAGGGTTCTTTGCCACCTTAGCTAGGAAAATGAAAATGAAAACCCACTGAGAGCGGGGGGAGGGAGAAAGGCCAGCCAGGGAACACCAGTTGCAGGCGATGTAAGAACAAGCCCGGCGGGGTGGAGGGGCTCACGGAGACAGAGCTGGCTCCCTCACCAAGAGCAGAAGGCGTGAGCCCTGGCAGGTTTGACTCAGTGGTAGAGTGTTGACTCACAGATCGGAGGGTCGCTGGTTCAATTCCTGGACAAGGGCACATACCTGGGTTGCAGGTTTGTTCCCCAGCTCACAGTCCCCAGCAGGGGAGCGTCCAGAAGATAACCAATTGGAGTGTCTCTCTCACATATTTCTCTCTCTCTCTCTCTCTCTCTCTCTCTCTCTCTCTCTCTCTCTCTCTCTCTCTCTCCTCCCCACTCCCTTATATTCCCTCTTTTTAGCAATGAAAAAGATATCCTCAGGTGAGGATAAACAACAGCAACAAAAAAGAGCAGGAGGCACGAGCTGATAGAGCCCAGCCCACCAGTGCCCTGAGCAGGGGTGGGGGGGGGGGAGGCCAGAGATGGGTTCAGGGCAGCCAAGGGGCTCCCCTGCCTCCTGGGGGAAGGAAGCCTGCTAAGGAAACCCTCAAACTATCCTGAGTCCCAGTACAGAGGCCGGGCTGGGTGGGCTTGGGGCACAGGTGAGCAGATGACATCTTTGCTCTTGGACAAGGAGCTGCCTCCTCCCCCTGCCCATCACTTAGTGCCAGGGAGGAGCATCTTGGGTGCTGTGGCCACAGGAAAGCACACTGGATCAGGCTGTCCTGAACGGATGTCTGGCCGCCTGAGCGTGGCCTGTGGTCCCTGCAGGAATGGCCCTGCAGGCACTGTGAGTGTCACCTGCCTGTTTGAAAGTTCCGGCTGATGGAGGGGTTCCCGTGGTCACCAGCACTCAGGGGTAGGGCTGCTCTCCAGGAGCCCTCCCTCAGCCACTGCCACGTCTGCTGAGGGGTCCAACCTTCCTGCCCTACACGGATGGTGGGACCCCAGAGGCACCTTCCCTGGGACACCCCAGGCTAAGGGTGCTCCTCCTATGCCCCACAAACCCAAGAGGGCAGAGGCTCCGCTCCTGGTGCAAATGCCAGCCCCTGCCCTGCTGCAGGAGCCCAGGTCCAGTGTCTCTTTTCATTTGCCAAGCAGCCATTCCTGGCCGCTCACTGTTCAGCGCAGTGGGCCTGATAGCAATGACAAGCGGGAGAGAGGTCGGTGCTGGATAGCCCTGCTCTGGCAGCCTGGGGATCCCAGAGGAAAGGCACAAGGGACAATAGGGTCAGCCCCTTCCCTAGGGATGCCCTTGGGGCCTTCGCCCCCACCCTTCACCATTGTGTCCACTCTGGACCTGGCATGGGTGGCACTGGCTGTAGTCAGGACAAGAACCGTCTCCCGGAGCCCCAGTCTCTGCTCTGGCCCCCACCTGCCTTGTGCTGCCCATCTGGTCCCAGGACTTTGTGTGGCCCCACCCGCCATGGGCAGCCCCTTGTTGCCTCAATGGCTTACTGCTCCCCCCAGGCCACAGTCAGAGCCACGGCGGTGGAGCTGAAGGCCCTGCAAGCCCAGTTTGAGGAGGCCATCTCGGCCCATCAGAGGGAGACCTCGGCTTTGAGCCACAATCTCCGGAAGATGGCGGCAGAGCGGAGCAATGCGGGCAGAGAGGTGAGGGGGTGCCCGGAGGGGAGTGAGGGAGGTGCTAGGAGAGGTGAGAGAGGGAGTACCAGGAGAAGGGAGAGAAGGCAGGTGACCTAGGGGTGAGGAGAGGGAATTGGGCCATTAACCTAGAGACCCATCCATCCAACACGCTGTGGGAAGATCCCTAGTGAGCAGCGTGAGGCATGGTCCCCATGGAACTGAGCAGAGGGTGGTGTGAGGCTGCCCTGGGGTCTCCCAGAGCAGAGAGGCAGCAGGGGTGCAGGGTGGCCTGCCTGGGCGGACATGGCCCCAGGAGCCCTGTGATGGTGCCCTGGGTGGGGACAGTCTTGGGCAGGGTGAGCAGGAAAGGCCCGGGAGGCCGGCGGAGCTGGGCAGGCAGGCGGATCGGGGAGGTGTTTCTGAGGTGGGTTTGACAGGCTCGGGCGCCTGGGAGAGGAGGGCAGGAGGACTCAGGATTTGGGCTGGGGGAGGGTAAGCTGGCGCCCAGGTAGGGCGGGCAGGCGGGGACGAGGCTCCAGCGCTCGTGCACCCTGGGCGGTGTGCCAAGGCTGGCAGGCAGCGCTGACCGTGCGCATGCACTAGCCTGGAGGCTCGGCGGGGGGAGCGGGGCTCGCCCTCCCCCAGCACCCGGGCAGGCTGGGTGGACGGAGGAAGAGAGCGTGATTTAACATGACAGGCTGTTTACTTTGGCCCCCAAAGAGAAAGGTCTCCTTTCAACAGATTTCAAAGTCAGGCCGGTCAGCGACCACACGGGGAAACAAAATGAGGTTTTAAAACTGGGGGCAGCGGGGGGAGGAGCTGGGAGATGTGCAAGTTCAGGTTCTTGGAGAGGGGCCTCCAGAAAGGGAGCGGGGAGATGGACAGGCAGCCGGGGGGTGAAGGGGAAAGAGGAGCATGGAAGCGCCCTCACAGGCGCCAGGCTGGCCAGAGTCACCATGGAAACCGTAACGTTTTCACAGCCCTTAAACTGGAGGCACATACAGGCCTCTGGCAGCCCTGACTGAGTCCACACATGTGTGCGTACATGCAAACATATGAACCCACTGCATGGCTCACACACATGCACACATCATACCCCATGCACACACATGTACACGAACAGTGACAGTGTGCGCATGCATGTGCGTGCACAATGCACAGGTAAACACATGTGAACACCATGAAATGCACACATACTAGTATGTCCAACAGGCAGCACATGCACTTACAGGCTCATACGCAATGCCATGTATGCTCACACATACATGTGTGCAGTTGCACAACCACATGGTCACCATGCTGCATGCACACACACATGTGCACACTAAGCACACATTTGTGTTGGCATGTGTGCACAAATGAACATGCCATACGCAGGCCAGGGCCCTCAACACCCCTCCCTCTATGCAGAGCTCTCAACCATCTCCCTGCAGGAGATTTCAAAAGAGGCTGTTTATACAATTTTTAGTAAAGAAATAATTATTATAATCACGTTAAGCGATTTGGCTGTAAAATTCCTGTAAAAGGGATGGTTGTTCTCGGGAGGCAGAGGGAGGTGGGTGGAGGTGCGGGGGAGGGCCCTGCATTTGTTTTGCTTGTTTTCATCTCCTTGTCCTGGGAAAGGAAAACAGCTTCTTTTGTGATGGATAGGCCCTTTTGCTGGTCCTTGACCTTCTGGGTGGATTTCTGCTGAGCTCAGCGGAAAATGCTCTACACAACTTGTGGCTCCCACATGTGGGGGGTGGGAGGAGAGCGAAGGGGGGGCTCAGGCCCTTCCCAAAAACAGAACAACAATAACAGCGGGCGAGTGCAGGAGCCAGGCCGGCCGGGGCCTGGACAGTGTCCCACAGAAGCAGCCAGCAAAGTGCAGTTTGCTCTTGGCAAACCGGCGTCTTGACATGGCCCAGAGTTCCTGCGGCTTCCCCTCCCTGGCATATCCTACTAGCTTCCTCTGTCTTCTCCTTGGGGACATGTGAATTGGAACAGAGCTTTCTACAGTGTCCTGGTTATGGCCACAGGCAGCAAAACACCAGGCGCCCGGCAGAGCCCCCACCCATAGCCTGGGCATTGAGGGCTGGGCTGCCCCTTCCCCAAGCCTACACTCTCCCCCAGGCCCTCCGAGCAGGGCTGAGCCCAGGCCTTTGTGCCCCAGGGTAAGTAGGGTCCCTGACCCCCACCTGCACTTTGGTGTCAGCAGGCTCTGCCTAGAAGCCCTGGTGTAGGGCCTGGCACAGGAGAGAACACAGGTCCTGGCTCCAGGTGGTGGGTGTCCCACCTGCAGCCTCTGCCCCTCCCTGGTCAGCTCCCTGAGGTGCAGACTGGGCGTGGGAGCCTCCAGCCATGGGCCTCCACTGCCCACCTCGAGTTTAGGAGGCTCACGCAGGGGCATTCCATGCAGACACAGCGAGAACTCCCTGCCCGAGCAGCTGGACAGCCTGGCCCAGTGGGCGCTGGTGCCAACGGAGGATTCCAAGGACACCAGAGACCCACCCTCCCCACTGCCTCCAGTTCTGATAGGGGACCGGTGTGCAGGGGTCAGGAACCTGGGCCACGGACACTGCTGCCCACACCAGGGCAGACAGTGGACCTGGGTGCCACGCCATTACTGAAGGAGAGGAGTGGACACCAGAGCCCAACAGGTGGCAAGGGCCATTGGGCAGTGGGTACTGGGTGGGGACCGTGCAGATGGGTAGGCAGAGCCGTGTCCCATGCATAAAGTGTACATCGACCCTGGGGTCCAGGGAGGGAGCACAGGGCAGGACCAGAACTAGGAGAAGTCACCTGCCTGGGCTCTGGGACTGGCCCTGGGGAGTCACCTGCAGCCACAGGTTGGCAGAACCAGACTGTCTGCTTCTGCAAGCACTTGGGAGATGGGGCCAGCGGGACACTAGCACTGCAGACCGGAGCCCGAGGCTGTGTGCTGCCCGTGGCTGTCCCTAGAGCAGTAGCTCTGCCTGCTGGACCCATAGCTCCTGACACACACCCCCATCCGGGCCGGGCCATGGCCCCTAGAGCCGCACGCTCCTCCTCCAGGCCGAGCAGCTGCGGGCACAACTGGGGGAGGCCCAGGAGGCGCTGGCTGTGCTTCGCAGGGAGCTGCAGGGCCACGAGGACAGTCTCGAGGGGCTGCGCAGGGAGGTCGTGGAGGCCCACCATGCCCTGGGTGACGAGGCCCTCGAGAAGGATGTGCTGCAGCGTTCCAACGCCGAGCTGCGGGCCGCGGTGCTCAGGGCAGAGCAGGAGAAGGCCAGGTATGGCTCCACCATGGACTGGCTGCAGGGAGTCCCCCTCGCCCCAAAGCTCCCTGCCCCCAAGCCGTGGTAGGATAGGGGTTTCCTACTAAGCTGGGCCAGATGATGGTGGGGGATATACCCAGCAGATCCAGGGTGCCAACTGTCCATCCAGAGTGATGACTGTTGGCCATGAGGTGGACACCTGGACACACAGACCTGTCCTTGCCCTCAGGGAGTTCCCCTCCAGCAGGAAAGATGGGCCAGTGGGCAATGGCTGGGGCTGGAGGGAGGGGAGTAGTGGTGAGAGGGGCTGGAGACATAGAGAGGGCTAGGACAGCTGGGCACTCAAACCCACTGAGCCCAAAGGTGACAGGCAGCCCCAAGGAGGCTGGGCTTTGGGACACCTTAGGCATGTCTCCATAGAGTGAGGTGAACAGCCTGCAGGGTAGCCTGAACAGTAACCATGGGAGATGCCAGAGCCCCCGGGTGGCTCCCCCAGCCTCAGCCGATGATGCTCTGCTCAGTTTTCAGCGGTCCAAGGAAGAAAAGGAGCAAAAGCTGCTGGTCCTGGAGGAGGCCCGAGCTGCAGCCCAGAAGGAGGCTGGCAAGCTGAGGGCCAGCCTGCAGGAGGCAGAGCAGGCCCAGTTGGACACCTGCCAGGAGCTCCAGGAGCTCCGCAGACAGGTGACCAAGCTCTCTGAGCCTCACACATGCCACCCCCCTTCTCCACTTCCTCCCCCGCTCCCCACCAGGGCACCCAGGGCTGCAGGGCAGAGCTCGCAGACTGGCCTGCTGCCTGTGCCCTTGGAGCCACCAGCAGAAGGGCCCTGCTCAGACTCACAGGGCTCCTGGGTGGGTCTGACGACAAGCCTCAAACCGAATGGCCTACAACAACCTTCTGAGGCTCATGACCCCTGAGGGTCAGAAATCCAGCCTGAGGGCACAGGCGGGAGCCTGGCTCTGCCCCTCAGCACAGACACCCTGAGGGAAGCTTCCACAGCCGGGGCTTGACAGCAGAGACGGGGTCTCCTGGAGGCACCTCCTCGCACATGTCCAGTGGCTGATGCCGGTGGTAGGCTGGGCCACCAGGGCTAATGTCGAGCTCTGAGCTCTGAGCCCCACAGGGTCCTGGCCCCCAGGTGGGGGTGCCAGGTGTCTGTGGAGTGGCTGAGGGTGAAGGTCTGAGTGTACTGCACAGACCCCTGTCCAGAGCTGGGCTTAGCCTGAGCGTCTTAGAGTGTGGGGAGCTGCCCAGGAGGGAGGCTTCTTCCCAGGACACGTGAGCAGAGGCAGGAGTGCAGGAGGCTGCCTATGAGGGGACGTGGGCCCCCATCAGTTCCCCCACCCCCAGGTGAAGACGCTGGAGACCGAGAACCAGAGGAAAAGCCAAGAGGTGCGCCAGCTGCAGGCCCGGTGCACTCAGGACTCGCAGCGGCAGCAGCAGAGCTGGCGGGAGGCCCTGGAGCTGCAGAGGCAGGCGGCGGAGGTGGACGCTGCCTGGGAAGACGCCCAGAAGGAGGTAGAGGGCTGAGGGGCCCCAGAAGGGGAGGCAGAGGTCCAGGGCCGCCCAGGCCTCTCGCTCACCCTCGTTTCATCACATATTAGTCAAGGACAGAGTCTCACCCAGGTGAAGAGCTTTCTGAGCCTGGGAACAAGCACGGGGGACCCTGGAAACCAATTTTCCAAGAGCTTCAGGTCTCTGAGCTCACACCTACACCCAGGCCTGCACATGTGTCCCACACCCTGACACCTGCACACACAGGCACACACTCTCCCATGAGCTCTCCCCAAATGCCTGCACACATGTCCCCACACCCTACACCATGCACTCTGCCATGAGCTCCCCCCGCCAGCACACACAGCCCCACACCAGCTTGAAAGACCCTCTGTTCAGGCCCAGGCCCCGCCCCTCAGGTTCTGGTTGCTGCGGGCTGCGCTGCCCACGGCCAGGTGGCCTTGGACCCCCCACACACAGCCTGAGGTCCCCCTGAGCCTCGGCCTTGTGTGGGGCTCCCGGGTTCAGACCCAAAGTCATGTGCAGAGTGGCTATTGCCAAGCACCCACCACACCCAGAAACATGGTTTACTTCCCATGGCCCACGTGACCCCTGTGTGACCTCACAGCCCCTCACCTCCATCTGTGAATGGGGTCCTTATACTGTGGCCACCCAGGGAGGGAGATGAGATGAGGCCCACCTGCACTGGCGCCAGGCCTCCTACCCCGGGGGTTACAGTCTGGCAGGGGCTACACAGCCTGGAGCTGGGGCCTGGCTGCCTCCCCCCAAACCTGTGCACATTCCAAGGGGGCGGGGTGTCCCCCATTTATTGCCCTATTCACTCACTTTGTTTGAATGGAGGACTGGGGACACAGTCAGGCCATGACCAGGGTCTGCAGCAGCAAACAAGTGGCCTAACTGGGAGTGGGGAGATGGGTAGCAGCAGAGGGACAGCAGGGTCAGGGAGGGCCCTTCTCGCCGGGGCTGGGCCGCCCAAAGAAGAAAGGGGAAGGTGGCCCAGCAAGGATGGTGAGGAGAGGGGGCTGCCAGGGGCTGAAGTGAAGCGAGAGGGAGCAAGGGAGGCCCAGCCAGGGCAGTCGGGGGAGTCACCCAGCGCCTCACTGCCGGCCTCAGCCTCCGTGCACTGTGTGGGGTGGACGACATTCTATTTTTCCGCGGTGTTATCCATTTGGAAGTCTGTGGTGGGGCATCTGGCACCCTGAGGGTCCCCAACTCTGGTCTCAGGGGACACAGCCTTTGCTACCACAGGCCCTGAGAGGCAGACAAGGAGGTGCAGCCCAGAGCCACGGCCCTGTCTGGCCCAGGTTCTCATGAGGCCGCTGGGGGCTGTCTGCTGCCTGTCCGAATGTACTCCGTGGTCCTGGGGTGCCCTTCCCCACCAGGGCTCAGGTGTCTCCCCTGCCAAACATGGGCCTTGGTCCCTCCAGCTGTGATATGCCAAAGAGGGGCTGTGGCATGAGGCCCTTAGTATCCAGCCTCCATCTGAGCCCCCACGGCCCTGCCGCAGGTCCTGAGGCTGCAGCAGGAGCTGGCGGAGGTGAAGCAGCGCCTCTGTGAGAGCCACGGGGCTGAACAGAGCCTCCGGGCTGAGCTGCACGGCGCCACCATGAAGCTGCAGCAGGCCAGCAGTGTGACTGACAGCCTCCAGGCCCGCCTGGACAGGGCCTGCCACCGCGTCCAGAGCCTGGAGCAGGAGCTGGCCCGGGCAGAGGGTGCCAGGCGGGACGCACAGGGCCAGCTGAGCCGGCTCTGGTCCACACTCTGCTGCGAGCTGAGGCTCCGAGCTCCGAGCCCCTCTGCCTCCCCTAAACGGCCCGGCTCCCCCACCAAAGGTCAGTGACTTTGGTGGCTTGGGGGGGGGGGCTCCTCTCCCAGGCCCTGGCCACCCCCACCCCTCCCTGGGCCTCACACTGCACCGTAAGGACCTGGACCCTGTGCCCCACCCCCAGCTCCCTGTGGGTGAGGACAACAGAGAGAAAGGGAGACAGGGCACCCATGTGTCACCGAGTCCCTTCCCTCAGCCTCACTGTCCTACAGGTGTGGACGGTTCCCAGGGTCTCTCTGGGCAGCACAGTGCCAGCCCCCCTGCCAGGTCCCGCTCACCACTTCGGTGGCCTTCACCTGCACCAGGACAGCATGGCCCAGACGTGGATGTGGCCGCTGTGCAGGACGCCCTGAGGGACTTCATGCAGAAGCTGCGGGATGCCCAGCGGGAGCGGGTAAAAAGGGGCAGAGAGGACCTGCCCTGAAGGCTCCGAGAGACAGGAGGGGCCACTCTCCGTGTGCTGTCCAACTGGGTCCAGGGCAGGGATGGCCATCCCCATGCCTGCCTCCTAAAGAGTGTCCCCCATGACCTCCCACAGGGGACCAAGCTCCCAGCATGGGCTCCCCATCTTGCCACCCCAGGGGTGCCCCTCCTGACCGGCCAGGTGGGAAGGGCTATGGGAAAGACTGATAGTCATGGCATGGCCTATTCCCCCACTCTACGTGCATACCCCAAACCTAGACATGCAGGCACAGCCCCTTCAAGCCCTCCTCAGGGCCTGTCCTGAGTGCCTCTATAATGCCCACCAGACCCCCAAAACCTCTAGCTCCCCCCTCACCCCAGCCCTGCCTGCTGATCTTTGACCTTCTCCCAGGACAACTGGTGTGCCAAGGTCCGCCACCTGAGCAGCTGGCTGAGAGAGGTGGAGAGGGAGCGTGCCGGAGCCCTACGCCACGTGGGGCAGCTGAAGACAGCGCTGGCCCAGGCCGAGGAAGGTGACTCCCTTCCCTCCCGCTCCTGGGAGAGCCCCAGAACATCCACTCCTGGCCTCCACTGTGCAATCCTGGGAACAGCTCAGGCGTGGGCCATGGGGTAACACCAAATCAGCACCCCCCTGAGCTGGGGGACAGCACTTCCCGAGACTGTGAGAGGCCTCCCTCCGTGCCATTCCCTTCCTACCTGGGCTTCTGCACTGGCTGTGCCCAAAGTTGGAGCCTTCCTCCCAGTCACAGGGCCCATCCCCCCCTTGGGTCTCTGCCCTCAGAGAAGCCACTGCCCTGCTGGTCACCCCATTGCATTTCACCCCATCCGTGGGTCACCCAGGGAGCCAGGCCCAGGGCCTGAATGTCTGGAAGGAAAGGCCTGAGAGAAGGGTAAGCTGGGGAGGGGTCTGGGGTCCAGGCCTTGAGCCTTGAGGGAGGAGCAAGGTTGTCAGTTTCCCAGCCTATGAGATGGGAGGGGCGATCCCCGGTATGGGAGTCCCTAAACCTTGGGAACCAGGCAAGCCACCCTGCTTGCCCACAGGCTGGCGCCAGGCGGAGAGGGAGGCGGGCAGTGCCCAGGCCACGAGGGCCCTGCAGAAGGAAGTGCTTCAGAGGCTGGAGAGGAAGTACCTGGCGAGTGTGCAGGCAGCAGGCCAGGAGAAGAGGCGGCTCCAGGTGGGGACCCAGGGCCGGGAGAGGAAGTGGGGCTGAGAGTGCTGCTGGGGAGGGGAGGTTTCAGGTCCCTGTGGGCAGGTGACCTCAGGGATACTGGGTTCCCACATAGCTTATCAGGGCTGTCCCTGCAGGGCTGTATTTGAGGTAGTCCTAGCCGTTATTTTACAGATTGGGGAAACTGAGTTCTGGGCAGAGAGGGAGTTGGCCTAGGTGGCAGAGCCTGCCAAAGTCAGACCAGGGGCAGACCCCGGCCTCCTTCTGGGGCCACACCAGCAGGCATAGGGTGGCCCAGCCTCGGTGTTCTCTCTCTGTGGGGTCAGGTCTTTGCTGCTGTGGGACTTTTATTTTTAATCTTCATCCAAGGATATTTTATTGGTTTTGAAAGAGAGAGAGAGAGAGACATGAATGTGAGAGAGAAATATGGACCTGTGGCCTCCTGTGCGCACCCGGGCCATGGATTGAACCCACAACCTAGGTGTGTGCCTGACCCAGAATCAAACCCGAAACCTTTTGGTATACGGGTTGACCCTCCAACCAACCAAGCAGCTCACCCAGGCCTGTGGGGCGGTTTTCTATCCACATCCCTCACACACACAGCAGGCTGCACAGGACGGACTCAGTAAACGGCCCCAAGTGGGCTCTGCTGTGAAGGTGGCTGGAGTCTGCGGTTTCCAGGGGAGAAACCTGGGTGCAGAGAGGGGCCGGCCTGGGCGATGGCCTGGTGAAGGGCCTCCCCCACACTACCAGCCCGGCCCCAGAAAGCGGAGGCTCCTTGAGGACCTCGGGACCATGGGAACAGTGTGCTTGGAGCGGAGTACTGGCCCTTGGGAGGCCCCTGGTCCCCACCCTGGGAAGTTGAGGTGGATGCGGGCAGCAGAGCTCAAGGAACTTGTGGGGCAGGACACAGGCTCTCAGCCCCATGAGTGCCACTAGCTGCATGTCACCCCTCTCCAAGTGCCCTGGATGGATGGGGAGGGAGAGGGATGGCCCTACAGGGGAGGGGGCAGAGAAAGCACAGAGGAGCTCAGCCCAGAAAAGATTTGTAAGACCAAATGTAATTTCTGTTTCAAGACCCCTCCAGCCTAAGCAGCTGTGGTGATGGGGGCGGGGGAGAGGTCATTCCTGGGCCCAGGTGCCTGCTGAGTGATGGCAGGACTCGTGAGGTGTGAGGGTCCGAGGAACCAGGAGAGGTAGGGTGGGACTGTGTTCCATTTTACACATATGTTCACATGCATGCGTCCCATGCACTTTTGAAAGTAAGTTGAAGTATACCTATTAAATCCACCTTTACCAACACAACACTCCCCACTGGATCTCTCCTGAATTTATCCAGGCTGGGAGTGATGCGTTGAATTTTCCCACTGTGATTTCCCTTTTGGCAACGTCTCCTTTACTCCAAGGGTCTTTGGTTTGTGGGTTTTTACGGCATGCTCTTCAGAATTCCACGTTTCTCGCTGCGCCAGCCTTTCCAGATCTGGAGGTCTCTGTGCCCGGAACCGCTCTGTCCTGAATTCCACTCCACCTGATACGGCACAGCCCACCCATCCCAGAGGCTCTCCTGTTCTTCCCACCCCACTGTCCCTCGGCCAGGCGTCCATTTCAACTCCACCTCTGAGTCTTTGCCCTTTTGCCATTTCCAGGAGACCTTATCCACTTACACGCCTCACGGTGGTGTGCTTATTCTGCTTTTCTCTGCCGAGAGGATGCTTTCTGCTTTTAGTGTCCCCTCACAACCTCCACTTTGCCCTTGACTGCAGGTTGTTTGCTCTCTCCTTCCCTCCAGTGCCCACATCCTGGCCTGTCCCTTTCCCCGGTCTTGGGGGTACGGGAGTGTTACAGAGATCAGCGTGGCAGCGATGTCGCACTGTGCTCAGGGAGTGCTGATGGCAGCTGGTACCCTTCCTGGGCCCCGGCCTCCCCAGCTGCAGGGGTTTTGTCCTGGGACCTGCCCTGATCTCCTGCTAAGTGCCAGCTGGGGTTGCACAGAGCCTGCCCCTGAGTTCGAAGCCCCCAGTGTCTGCAGACCCAGGGGACCATCCCACAGCAGCCACACCTGGTGCATTCCTTCTCAATCAAAGAGGCCGGTGGAACCCCGTTTGTGGGCTCCCAGTCCTGGAGGCCAAAAATCCCTCATGGGTGACTTGTTCTCTCCCAGGTCTCAGCCTCTGGGTTGGGCTGGGCCCCATCCTCACCCAAACCTGGAAGAGTCCCCTGGCAGCTCATTCAGGGTGTGGCAGGGTCCAGTTCCCTGTGGCTCTGGGACCAAGTCCCATATCCCAGCCCTCGGCTAAGGATGGAGCAACTTCTAGAGGCTTCTCCCAGTCCCTGGAATGGGCCTTCTCACGGGCCCTCACTCAGAGTCCTGAAGAGCAGACCTCCGGTGATACTAGAACCACCTGGGTGGCCTCTCATTGGTTAGTTACTAGCCTTCATTACCTCTGCAAATCCCTTCGCTATGTAATCAGAACAGGATGACATCAGGGCCAAAGGTCACAGGCCATCTGTAACTGCCAGCCCCCCTGGTTTCAGTAATTTGTTGAACGTGTTGGCTGAACTCGTGCGCACAGCTGTCTCAGGTGAGCCAGCCCTCTTCCCATCTCTCCAAGAGAGGCCTGTTTTCCCTTAGATCTCAGGCTGGCTTCTTGCCCTCTGACCTCCGTCTCGGTTGGATTCTAGAAATGGGAAGATGTTGTAGGTTATTGGAAGTATTATTTCCAGAGTGGGGAGCCAGAATGCCCATTTAGCTTTGAGATTCAAAAACACTGACTCCTCCATTGTTTGTACCTGTGCTTGGTGAGCCCGACGAGGCAGAATCCAGTCAACCTCAGTTTACACAGGTCTTTCCGCTTGAACAGCATCTCTCCTCCCCATGCTTCCCTGTTTGTTTGTCCCGAAATTCACAGCAGCCCGACACTGCTCTCCGGGCCTGTCTTCCTGGCTGACCTTAAACTTCACCTTTCCAGGGCCCAGCAGTTTAGGGTCTTCTGCCTGTTTAGCTGACCTGTCCTGTGTTGTCCTTGGTGTGTGTTTTTTTATTTGTTTGTTTTTTGTTAATCCTCACCCGAGGATATTTTCCCATTGATTTTTAGGGAGAATAAAAGAGAGAGGGAGAGACAGAGAGAAACATCGATGTGAGAGAAACACATCGATTGGTTGCCTCCTGCATGAGCCCCGACCAGGGCCAGGCCGAGAAGGAGCCTGCAGCTGAGGTACATGCCCTTGACCAGAATCAAACCTGGGACTCTTTGGGCCGCAGGCCAACCTCTGTACCCAGAGCCAAACTGGCTAGGGTGGCCTTTATGTTTTTATCTTAACTGTTCACTCTCCGGCTCCCTCATGGCCTCACCTTGAGAAGATCAATGAACCTTTTCTAACATGGATTCCCTTTTCTTCAATCACTCTATTCTCTTTAATTGGAGACCCTCAGATCTGATTCCTCAGGTTGGCTTTGTCTCTTGAACCACAGTTTATTGCTACTAGTACGTACGTCATCATTTTTTTCCTCTGCATGTCTTTAAAGAAGGGGGTCTGGTCTTGCTCAAAGCTGGAAGTGGAGAGGAACCTCCTGGGGACTTGTTGTGACCCTGTCCAGATGCTTCAGGCCCAAAGGAAAGGCCAGAGGGGAAGGTCTCAAGGGAAACCATGGTGGCCCTGTGGCATGGGGAACCAGAGGCAAAAGCAGTCCCGAGCCCTCACTAGAGCTTTTCTGTTCCAGGAACAGGGTGGGCAAGGGCCCTGCTCCAGGGACACAGCTACAGTGGCTGGAGGCCTCTTGTTCCTCACCCACCATGACCCTCCTCCCTGGAGGACTCCCCTCCACGCCAGACGCCCCTCCAGTCCTGGCTCTGAGCTGGGTTCCCAGGGACTGGGGGGAGTGGGGGGATCTTCTGAGGTTGTTCAGATATTCTGTATACATGTTAATTTTTCTGCTTGATCAATAATTTCCTCAATTTTTTTAGTGAAGTGTGTGTCCTAAAATCTATCAGGATTGTGGGAAATTTTTCTAGGATCCTGGCAATTACCATCTCTCCTAATTTCAGGCTGGTTGGTTCTGTCTGGCCTTCATCTTGCAGGAGCCCTCAAAGTTCTGGTCTCCAGCTCTGAGGAAAGTGTTCCCAAATTCTGTGACCTCTTGGCCTTTGCAGTGGGCATGGGTTGGGGATTGAGGCTCGCCTAAATCACCGGCAGCCCCAGGCCCTTTTGACAAACAGCCAACCCAGGCAGAAGTGTTTGCCACCAAGGGTGTGAGCCAGAGCAAGGTTGGTAAGCTACACGACAACTTTCACGTTTCCTGGGCTGGGTTTTTCTCTGTTTCACATAAGCCAATGTGTTTGTCAAGAGAAAGTTAATTAAAAACATATTTTTCTAATTAAGTGGCAGGCTGTGCTGAGCAAACAGTAAGATTCTTGTTTGAGAGCAAACCCCTCCCGTTCCCAGGGCTCCCCTGGGGATTCACTAGATCCACAATGCACAGCCCGCATCACCCACCCCGCGTGACCCCGCATCACGGCCAGGTCCCAGCCTCCCGGCTCCCAGGCTCCCAGAGTCCTCCTGGCACCCGGACTTGTCCGTCCGACCCCGCTGGCTCTCACACGCCCAGTGTCAGCCCAGCTGCACACCCCACCTCTCCAGAGAACGCTCCCCTGGCCCAACCTGAGCTCCGTCCAGGTTCTAGAAGCAAAGCTGGGAAGCCCTTGGCACCCCTGGGCACACATTTTCAGCTGGGGCTGCAGCTGGTTCATAACTTTTGTCAAGAATGTCTGTGTTTGTGTCTCCTTAGGTATTGTCTTTATCAGCTTTTTTGTGTTAAGATTATTTTATCTTGATTTGGTGAGTAGGTAAGCTTTCCATCTTTTTCTTTCACCTGGACTATCCAAATAGCCTAAGAGGTAAGGTTTTTTTAAAGGTTAGTTTGAATTTGCCTGCAAACCCTGCCCTTCTGTCATCTTAAATAGGCTTTAACTTCCTCTCCATCTCCGTCTGTCCCCTGTCTTATTCAGTTCTCCTCCTCTTGTCACGTGGCAGTCACCCACCTTATATTTTTTAGTGCATGTGTATTTACCGTCATCATAGTGATGTGTGTGGTTGCACCTGCAGTTAGATCTGTGCCTGTCCTGGGTGTCGGAGGTTCTATCGATATTTATTTCCCCTCTTCCAACTTGCCAACAGTTCATCTCTTTTATTGGTCTTTTCAAAGAATCAACTTTTATCTCTTCTCTTATTTCTGTCCAGTTTACTCATCTCGGCTTTCATCTCTGTTAACGTCCTCTTTTGGTTGTCGTGTTTCTGATTTCTGATATTGAATAAGTGTGTGTTTATGTTTAGACTTTCTCTCTCTCTAGTAGAGAATTCAGTGTTAACCATATTTTCCCTAATTGATGTTTGCTGGGTGACCCGTGGCTTTTTCATATGAATTATTTCCCTTTTTACCCATTTTCTAGGAGTTTCAGCTTTTATTTCTTCTTTAATTCAAAAGACAAATTCCATGTTTGTGCCTCTTTTTGTTGCCATATCTGGTCTCACTGGTGAGAGGGCATGGCTTGGGCAGTGTGGGCCTTTGGTCAGCTTCCGGGGGTATCTGGGTTTATGCTCCTGGTTGTCGGCTGTTTGCTGGTTGCTCTTTGCTTTCATGGTTTGGTTTTGTCTATTTGTTTGTGGTATGTTTGGAGGAAACCGGACAAGCTGATTGCAAAGTTTACAGGGAAGAAAAGATGATTATAACTGATTTAAGGCAGCAGGAGGGGTAGCACCGGCTGGACAAAGAGGCCAGCAGGGTAGCGGAGACCAGAGGTGTTCAGCTGTCACTACTTGGCACCAAGCCCCTTATATCTGAGCAATTCAAGGGCTCATTGTGTCCGGGGGCTGGCCAGAGGGCGGAACCAGCCAGCCAACCAATGGGCCCATTGTCACCCAGGGGCTGGGAAGGTGTCAGGATGAGGACCTGAGTGCCAAGGCCCAAAGCACGGACTTGGGGAGTCGTGGCATGCTCTGCCATTCACTGTGCATAAGTAGGCTGGGTAATGAGACCCCTGCCAGCTGTACATGTACAAGACATTTTCCACCCTTCCTTCTACAAGACCCTTATTTCACAACAGCCCCCTCCCTTCCTTCTCCTGGTCCCAACAAGAACCCAGTGAGGTTGCATCACCCCATGCCACAGATGGGGAAACTGAGGCTGGGGCCTGGTCCAAGGGCACGAGGGGAGCCGCGTGTCCCTGCCCCAAGCCCGGCTCTTCCCTGCCTGGCTCCCAGGTGAGAGCCACAGGCTGGGCTCCATTTGCCATTACAAGAAATTTAATTCCAATGGCATTGAATCCTGACAAGACGAGCCCAGTGTTTCACATAAGTGGGCTGGGCCTCTTTAAATACCATGAGATATCTAAGCTGTGTTCGAAAGAAACCTCTACTTTTCTACTGGAAAATGTGTACGAACAGAAAATTATAATTTTCAAAATTGCAAGGGAGGGTGAAACGTCACAATTTTAGGGACAAGCATTGTCCTCCTCTCTTTCCTTTTTCAAAGTACTAGTGTCAGCCCCCAAGAAAGTGTATGGAGGGTCCCCCTGCCATCTCCAGCACTTCCTGGCTCCTCTGAGCAGCCCTCCTGTGTGAGCGGCCAGAGTCTGCTCTGGCATTCAGTGAGAATAAAGTGAGAGGATGGACAAACGGCCCCTCTGACAGCCGGACTGCTGTGGTCACTGTGGAGGATGGGTGTTTGCTGAGACTGGGACCCTGTGACCTAGAACTAGAGCTTGCCTGGGTCACTGGGGTACCCGCACCTTCAGGGTCCTCTCCCTGGCTGTGCCCAGCCTTCCTCTTGCCCAGTTGGCCCTTTCTCCCCTCCCCCAGCCAGGCTTCCAGAAGGCCTGCCCCTCTCTCTCCCACACCCTCAGCCTGTCACAGACACACACACACACACACACACACACACACACAGGAAAAAGTCACTAGCAACATTTGGTCCCACCCAAAGGGTCCTTTTTGGGTGTCTCCTTGACCCCTGGGGCACCCCCATTAAGGGACTGGCCCCTCCCTCCCAACTTTTGCTGACTCTCTGGGCTTCCCTGCTCGACCTATCTTTTTCTCTCTGCCCGGACATCTACTTGGCAGGACCCCTTCACTCCTCTCCCCCCTCTTACCAGGGCACCCTCCCCTCGTCTGGCCTCCAGAGCCACCTGGTTCTGAAACACTGCCCCTGAGTTTAGTGACTCCTGGGCACCCCTCAAGACTGAACTCTGAACCTTCACCCCAGACATGTTCCCCCGCCTGCCTTCCGTCTGGGTGAGTGGGTCCTGGAGCACCCAGCAGTTTATGCCTGGGAGTCCTCACTCCCCCACACGGCCCCTCCAGGCTCCAAGTCCCATGTCATGCCCTTTCACTCCCCCACTCACGTCCAGGCCACCTCCTGTCTGCCACCGGAGTCACAGGACCAGAGACACTGGCCACTTCTAGCACCCAACACAGGGGAAGATTCAAAAATTAGAGATGGGCCCAACCTCACAAAGCCATGCTGGTCACAAGCCAACCTCAAGTGTCCATCAATGGAGTCTGCATAAAACTCACCAGGGATCTCTAGACCCCACTGCAGGCTGGTTCGGGGCCCAGGGACATGTTCTCCTTGTGCGGACTCAGAGCAGAGGGGTGGTGGGGGCAAGGCTGCTAACACAGGAGAGAGACCTGGTGTGGGTGGTGTGGGTGGTGTCGGTGGGGGGCCCAGTGAGGCTGGTTGGGCTGCAGGGCTGAGCAGGACTCTGGGCAGTGAGGGCAGGGCCCTGGGGCAGGGGAGCAGGTGGTAGGTGGGGTGGGCTGAGTCCAACAGGCTTCATGACTTGGGGTGACTCTGGTCTTCATTCCAAGTCCGGAAGCAGAGGAGGGACACTGGTTGTGTCTTGAGGCCACTCTGGCCAAAGCACAGAACTTGCCAGCGGAGCCTCTGCCCACGCTGGGCCAACAAGGCCTCCTTTCTAGTTCCCACGACTGCATCACAGACAGCCCAGGTGTGCACAGTGTGCTTGGCCTCGTCTTGCCTCCTCACATCCTGCAGCCGGTCTGGGCAGACACCCTGTGCCTCCCTCCTTAGGAGCAACTGGACATGCTGCACCGGGCCCTGCATGAGAGCAGGAGGCACAGCCAGGGCCTCACCCAGAGGAGACGGCGGCCGGAGCACAGGCGCCAGGAGGCCGTGAGTGCACAGGGGCCCCTGCGGCAGGTGAGCCCCCAGAAGGCAGGGCCCTACATCCCTTCACAGAATCAGCTTCTGGGTGTGAACAGAGGTCCAGGTGTTCAGACGCCATTCAGTTCCCCACTGGCAGGGCAGAAATCGGAGGAGGGAGAGCACACGCAGGGATTCCCTGCTCCAGGACCACCTGAGAGCCTGGTCCATGTAGCCTCTGTCTATCCAGGTACTTTGGAGGCAGCAGTTCAGAAAGCAGGGATTGGGGGCACAGTGCATGAAGAGGCACATCCTGCAGGGACCCAAGGCCTTCCAGCACCTCAAGGGCTCCCACCTGCAAGGGGAGCTCGTGGTGCTGCATGCACGCCAACTGCTGGGATGGGCTCTGACAGTAGTCCTAGGAGTCAGGGGATCCCTCACCAGGGTCCCTCGCTGGGGTGAGGTGAGGCTGAGGATGTGTCCTACTGCCCTGGGGGCCTGGCAGGTCATGGCTGAGAGTCTGTGAGCAATTCTGGGCCAAGTCTAGGCAGAGGGTGTTGCTTGGCCCCTAGCACAGGGATCTAGAGTGGTGTGCGGGCACAGACAGAGGAGGGGCTCAGGAACACACAGCTGCCACCTGGGCACAGATATCCTTCCCTTTGCAGCACTGGCCCCAGGCAGGGCTCCGGGAAGGGCATTCAACCTGGGCTCACCTATGCAAAGGGAGCCAGGTGTCTGTCACTCATGGCTGTCCCAGGCAGGGCTGCTCAGAAGGGCTGGTGGAGGGTGTTAAGTGGCACCCCGCAGACTTTGCAAGGGCCACCTCAGGTCCAGTGAATCCCTGGGCTTGTCACTGTGTCACCTGCTCACCAAGACCTATAAAGACTGGCTTCCTGCTGGGGCGGGCTTGTCTGGTCTGGGCAGTGTGGCCCAAGGGCAAAAGGACCAGGGGACCACAGAGGCCAGGCTAGCATCACTGGCTGGTAGAAGGAGTAGCAAGGAGATAGGTGCCCAGGACTCTCAGACTCTGAAGGAGAAAGATGCCAGGGGGGCATGTGGACACCAGAGAGGAGAGAAAAGGAAAGGTCAGGGCCAGAAACAAGGTGATGGCTGCCTCTACCTCAGGTAGGAGGGAACGTGTTTAGTTGTGTCAGAGGCAGAACCGGAAACAGCCATGGTCCCCAGGAGCTGGAGGGTGTAAGTGACAGCTATGTGGACACTGACCACATGCCCCCTGAGGGAGCAGTGGGGCGCTGCGGGGAGGGGACTGCTGGGCCTAGAGTCCCCGGCAGAGTGTCTGTCCCATGTCCCAGGCAGGTCCTGTTCAATGAGGTGGATTCAAGCACAGGAGGGTTTTCCAGAGGGGAGTGGCCAAGTCAGTGCGGGGAAAGGACCCTGGGGATAGGATTGGGGTCTGGATTGGGGCACAGAGACCAGCAGGCCAGGACAGGCACTGACAACCACTGGCCAGCTTGTCCACACTGGGCCACCTGCCCTCCCAGGAAGGAGGGCCGGCCAGCTGGGTACAGTCACCAGGATCCTGTCACTTCTCCTGAAGGGTGGGCCAGCGCTGAGCTGCTGAGCTGGGGAAGCGGAGGACTCATGGCCCCTCCAGGGGCTCCTGGGGGGCTGAGCATTAGCCCGGCTATGGCACCGCCCCGTGGGGGAGGGGAGGAACAGCTAATGAGTTCCAGGAGGTCAGCTGCGAGGGGCCGCAAACCCATAAACCCTTTATTGGTGTCTCAGGAGGGGAAGCCCGGCCGTGGCCGTTTGTTTATTTTGGACCTCATGTTTCTCTGTTTCACATGCACTGCCAGGACTGTCACTGGGATTTTAAAGAAACAGGACTTCCTTTTTCAGTGGAGGGGGCTCTGTTTTTCCCAGTCCTGAAGAAGAAAGGAATCCTTGCTTTTGAACACTGACCCCATAGTCTCACCCTGAGACTGCTCCTCTGTAGCAGGGTCCCTGAGAGCCCAGGCCCTGAAGGGAGGGCCGACAGGGGCCGCAGCAGGACCGCAGGGCTGGGCACAGTGGGCAGTGGGCAGGTCTGGTTTGCAGAGAGGGCCTGGGCTCTGATGCTGCCCAGCTGCTGCTAGGACTGCCAGGCCAGAGACGGTCCCCAGCAGCACCCAAGAGGCATGTCTGGGGTCAGTTCTTTCCTCCAAAAGGATCATCCACAGAGGCAATTGGAGCCCCACCAACCTTCCCACCAACACTGTTTCTCTGTTTCACCCTGGTTCAAATGCCAATGGCCCTGGGTGGGGTTCAGGGTCCTGGCCCAGGGCAGCACCCTGCCCCACCAACCCAGTGCTCAGGGGACCCAGAGCCCTTCCAGGGGTACCCACATGATCCCCAAAGAGCAGGCCACTCTCCCCCAGCAGCCACTACAGGCTCTGCTCTTGCAGAGAGAGCGGGACACGCTGAGCAGAGAAGGGGACACGGTGGGGGCTGAGGAGCCACTGGACCAGCCCCTGAGCAGCCTGCACCTCCAAGTGGACAGGGCCCTGAGGCAGGACCAGAACCCACAGGTCAGCAGGGCTGGCGCAGCTCTGTGTACCCCAGCCTTGGGAGTGGCCCCGGGACAGGGGCTATCCAGATGGTGTGGGTGCCGAAAGGGAGGGCCACCTTGCCTGACTCAGGACACACAGACAGGTGTGCACGCACAGGGGTATCTGCTGGGTCACACCTGGGAGTGGTGGGACGGTCGGGGACCTCGTGAGCCAGCACCTAAACCAAAAAGGGAGGTGTGAGGGAAGCATAGCTCCCCTGCATGTGTTGGGAGTGGGGAGTGGGGGAATCTCTCTTTCCACTACTGGGCAGACTCTCCACCCCAGACAAGAAGTTTACAAGCAGGTGGGAGGCAGCAAGATTCAGCCTGTGATGCCTGCAGGACCCCCAGTCCAGACAAGCAGAAACCAGGATGCCATTAAAGCAGATGTAAGGTCCACCCTACCGGCCTGTGGGCCGGACCCTAGCTCAGATGAAGCCCAAATCTGCTTGCCGATCCTGAACTGGGGCCCACCCCGCAGCTGAGGGCAGTGGGTAACAGAGGGCTGGACAAAGGAATAGTGGCCACAAGGGCAAGTGGGCAGCAGTGAGGTGCCTAAGTTCTCACCCAGGTCCAGACAGCGGAGCTGGAGCAGGCCCAAGCCCAGCAGCCCCAGGAGCTGGCTGCCCAGCACCAGCAAGACCAGGCTGTGGAGGCCAAGCAGGCCCTGGAGTCCCACGTGCTGGAGGAGCAGGTGGGGCTGGGTGGAAGGCAGAGGAGGGGAGGGGAAGGGTGAGGAAAGCCCAGTGTCCTGCAACACACCCCTCCAGCAGGGGTTCCCCAAACTGACACCCAGGAGCTCCAGCCCACTGAGAAGCTGAGCAGGCTTCTGGGGCAGGTTGCCTGCCTGTCCGTAAGGAGGGGTGGTGAGGGCAGTCCCTCAGTCAGAGGGCAAGGCCCGTGAAGTGTCCAGACCGTGCCTGGCAGGTGGCAGTTGTAGCAGAGGTGGCCCCTGCACCTGTCCTTCAGGCAGGAGGGGAGAGACTGTCATATGTGGGGACAAGGTGGGGACAGTGTGACAGAGCCTTGGGAATGTAGCTGTGTTGCACACGCGCACTCGCACACACACGTATACACACAGGCAAAACATGCCTGCCAGGGCTGGCCCACAGGCTCCAAGCTGTGAGAGACAGCTACATTCTACAGATAAAGAAACTGAGACCCAGAAGGTAAAGTGACTGCCCCGTGTTACCCCCAAGTCAGTGTCCCTGACCCACCAAGCCTCGTCTGCTAAATGTATATGCTCAGGAGAACTTATTTCCTTAGCACTCTAAGTACATCCATGGCCTGAATGGGAGGGCGTCTGTCCACTGTGGGTCCCTAGGAGAGGTGGAAGTACCTGTGGAGTGAGCATATGTGTCCCTGTGTGTCTGCCGATGTTTCAGACCCATGCACGTCACCTCCTAGGAACCATGGGCTGTGGCCTCCCAGCGCTTCCTGTTACAGAGCTCTGGGGAGGCCTGAGACCGTTCCTGCCCTGTTCCCAGGTGGCCCGGAAGGAGCAGCTGGACTAGGAAGTACAACGGCAACAACATGCCCACCTCGGCCAGCCCTCCCTGCCAAGGACTGAGCCCTGCCGCCAACCCTGTCACAGCCCTGACCAGCCAGACGCAGAACCATGAATTGGAAAACCAATGCTCATGCGCCTCAGTGTGGCCTGGTGCCCGCAGAGGGCTCAGGGAGCAGGCAGCCGGAGCCCACACTCACCCCCAGAAGTCCCCTGGCAGCAGGCACCCTCTGGCTCCCCCGACCACTGAGCTCCCCAACCCTGTGACGTGGGCTTCTTCTGGCATGGACCCCTCCCCGCTGCACACCTCCTCCCCCTGGACACGCCATGGGGACAGTCCCCGCCAGGCCAGTTTCCTCAGCCACAGGCTGCATTCCCTGCCCTCAGCTCTGTAAACACGGGGAAACACGTGGAAAACATTTCCACCAAATGGAGCCAAAAACCGTGTCCTTCAAGGCCCAGTGCCCACCTCCCACGCCCAGAGGCTGTGGAACCTTCTGTATCCAGGAACTGCAGGTCTCTCACGATGGCAGGTGCCTGGAAATGACTCAGTCGCTCCCTGTGACTCACTGGCCTGAGAGGCACGGGAGTAGGAACTTAAAAGTCAGCCTTGCAGAACCTCTCACAGTCTGTGAACCTGGGCCAGGGACCATCAGAATCCAGCCTCATTGCTATGGAAGCAAGGCAGCCATCTTCACCTGTAGGCATTTGTATTCATTTCCTCCATTTATACCGGGTCAGTGGTTTGTTTTCCTCTCCAAATGGCCTCTTTTGTTCTATGACACCAGCCAGCCCAGGACTCACAAGCTTCTTGTGAGCTCAGCCCCACCCAGGGAAACCCTGCCATACTCTGGAGGACAAGCATGGGGTCAGGAAGGGTCCAAAGCTCCAGGAAGCCACCCCATCTCGGCCACTGTAAGCTGTGGCCCAAAAAGACGGCCATCTATCTCATTCAAGATGGATCCAGGCTTGCTTAGAGAGCCTGGCTGGGATTGCACAGCTGGAGAGGGGCATCCCTGCCATCCCCCAAGGGGGAGAGCCATGCTCATCACCTACCCTCATCTGCCCAGCAAGCCTTCAGGCACAGGGTCCTGTTGACTGGAGGACAGAGCTGAGCCAGGTAGACTGAGCAAAGTGAGGCCCAGTGCTGGGCACTGGACCTGTTCTCACACATCACCCTGGAGGTGAAATGCAGGGAGGGGGCAGGGTAGGGGCCCATCCTGGAATACAAGATCAAGGCAGAACTGCTGACCACCCTACAGTCCAAGGGATAGGGCAGAAAAGCAACCGGTCTCCCACCCATCCCTGCTCCCTGGAACTCGGCCACGGCCCTTGGGTGCTTCTCCCCTGCTCTCCCACATGGAGGCCTGTGGCCTGTAAGAGGCCCGGGAGGTTCCAGCATCCCTTTAGGAGTTGCCAGCCTTGCAGGGCAGTCCCAGCTCTGCTCCTCTCCAGCTGTGCAATCCCAGTCAGGCTCTCTAGGCCCAGGAGACCATCTGGTCTGGGGCACCAACCTTCTCAGGTGTCAAAGGACATACCTGAAGCCCCCAGGGGGAGAAGGACTCATCCCCCGAGAGAGCAGGAGAGCCATGGGGACAGGGCCATCCTGAAGCACGTGGGCCGAAAGGAAGGAGGTGACACCCTAGGACAGAGAGGCAGGGGAGGATGACCAAGCACCTGAGGAGACAGGCTCAGCCTCCAACGCCCCAGTTTTGAGGGAGGCAAAGGCCCTGTCTTGGCCACAGCTGGGGAGGGAATGAGCCACAGGACCCAGGACTGCAGCTGGTCCTCTTGACATTCATAGTCTCGCCTGTGGTTCTAAGAGGAGGCCGGAGCACTCCCTCTCCAGCACATGCCTGCTCAGAGCCTGTGGGTTAGGTGAATCTGCTACTTTTAATATTCTTTTTAAATTTTTCACTTGAGCCCTGGCCAGTGTTCTCAGTGGTTAGAGCGGGAGTTCAAGCACCAAAGGGCCTTGGGTTTATGATTTCTGGTCAAGAGCACATTGCTGGGTTGCAGGTTCAATCCCTGGCCTCAGTCAGGACATGTGTGGGGACTGATATCTTTCTCTCTCTCTCTCTCTCTCTCTCTCTCTCTCTCTCTCTCTCTCTCTGTCTCTCTGTCTCTCTTTCTCTCTTCCCTCTCCCCTTCCACTCTCTCAAAAAATCAATGGAAAAAATATCCTCTGGTGAGGATTAACAAAACAGAAAAAAATCTTACTTGCATTTTCCTGCATCATTAGAAAGGCCACAGAGCATAATTTTATTGGCTGCCAAGCAGGGACATACCTGCCTCCCACGTGCCCAGGTCTCCACTGTGGCTTCCCTGCCATCATGAAACACTCAGAAATGGGAATCTTTGCCCTTGAACCAGGGGGTATGCAGGAGGCAGGGAGGGGCCTGTCATCACCCCAAGGCAAGGAAAGCCGTACCTGAGCCCACCTGTAACCCATTTATGGCCTCTCCCTGCAGAACCTCTAGCTTAGGGGTGTCGAACTCAATCAGAGAAGGGGCCAAAATCTAAAATCCAGCCTAAATCGCGGGCCGAATGGTTTACTGAACAGTCATAAACTGTCATTGTGATGCAAACGCAGTGTAGTGCAGTGATGACAGCGAGGTGCGGGCCACATTGCAAGGCCTGGTGGGACGGATTTGGCCCGCTGGCCTTGTGTTTGACACATGTGCTAGCTCAATATTTCCAGTTCCTCTTTTTTTTTTTCTTTTTTTTTTTTTTTCTTTTTTCTTTTTTTGAGCTAAAGCAGCAACAAACATCCCAGAAGTGAATGTGGACCCATTCTGTCTTTCCTTAGCAGAAGCCTCATCGTGATATTCAGGTGCAGGGGTGGGGGTGGGGGATGGGGAAGGCACCTCCATGGAGGATCTGTCCCTCACTGCACCTAGGAGGAGCCAGTAGGCTGGGGTCAGAGGGCTCAACACACTGGCTATGTGAACAGCTGGGCACCCTGAGCCAGGCCCTCCCACCTCTGTCTTGGGACACCAGCGGCACCCGTCTAGCCTTACAGTGTAGTGACAGGAGCCAGATCCTACCTGCCCCTCTGGGCCCTGTGATCTCCCAACCTCACTCCCAGAGCAGGTGGCGGGTTACCTGCGGCAGGGTCTCTGGTTTCACCTGCGTGGTAGAACCAACTGCTCTGGGGAGATCTATGTCTTGCCAGCTGCCTCTTGGAGGGAAGGAGAGAAAGGTGGGGGGTGCAGCCAGCCAGCCAGCCCGCCCCTGCCACTAGCGGTCTCACCCAGAGCCCCCTCCCCCAGGCCTGCAGGGAACAGCCCCCTGGGCCAGGTGTGGACACTCACCACCTTACCCTGCAAGGAGTCCCAAGTCCTGGGGCATCCAGAGGTCGGCTCCAGGCTCCCCCATCTAAACTGCACACACACTCAGGCCCTAAATTAAAATGTCACAGGCCTATGGGGAGGCTCGGGTTTCCTGCCGCAGAACATGAGCCTGCTTGATAAAACCATTTTGGTTTTGATAAATGTGGACTTTCTGTGGCAGAGACAAAGGCGCCCTTGAGTCCAGAGGAGAACCTACAGCGGCACATTGCTGAAAGCTATTTCCTGATAATATTTTTAGCACCTGGAAAAAAACACACAAAAAAAACATTTTTTTTCTCCTCTGGCCTGTGGAGTTGTGTTTTGTGTTGTTGTTTTTGTTGTTGTTTTAATGTAGTGCCCAGTGCGGATGAGGCCTTGTGCAGGGCTGCAGATCAGTCCAGGGTGAAGGCCGTGGAGTAAGCAGGCTCTCTGAGTGGGCCTGGGCCTGAGCATCTCACAAGCCCAGGAGATCCCAGGGGTGGTGGGGTTGGGAGCCCCTGTTCTGGTGTCCTAGGGTCTCCAGCCCTCCCACAGCTGCACCTTGTGGGACTAGGACATTTATAGGACCCTCACTCTCGGGGTGCTGCCAGTGTAGGGCTGGCCTCCTGAAACTCTCACATGGCCCTGATTGCATCCTGAACGGGATCTGTGTAAACCGGTGGCCTCAGAATTGTCCACACACACAGAGACCCTTCCGCTAGTTCCTAAAAATCATATGAAATGTTCCTTGTTTTGACTGCAAAACAACATGCTCATTGAAGGCGATTTGGAAAATACAGAAAAACAAAGACAAGTATGAAACCTCTCAGGACCTGGTGACTGTTCTCTCTGCTTATCTTTGGGGGTCAGGGGGGAGAGAAACCTGTCTTCAGGGGCGGGGGGCTTGGCTGGAGTCGCCAACATCAGGACTCTGGGAGCAGAGAGGATGGGGGAGGAACTGAGGCCCACAGAGTTGGGTCTTGCCCTGGGCCTGGGGAGCCAGAGGTGAACAGATGCCCCGTGAGGGCAAATGCAGTGATGTCCCAGGTCAGCAGTCCCAGCGGTGGAAGAAGGGCTGGGATCACCACAGGCTGGGGACAGAGAATCTGAATTGTGGGCCCTTGAGGTCTTACTCCCACCCAGGGGCCCAGGGACAAGACACATGCAGAGGCCCCCACTGACCAGCCTTCCCCAAAACGACTGCTTTGGGCTGCTTTACATAGGAGTCGCCAAAATTCTCTTGCTGCCTGCACCGGGCAGGAAACCTCTGGAGCAGAAACACTTTGTTTAATATCCTGAGGTTCCCCAGGCCAGCGGTCATCCCCACATTAAACCAGATAGGAAGCCTCGCCCCTGCACAGGAATCCAGTGCCCCAGGCTCAAGGCTAGGGAGGTTTGGGGGCAATACAGGGCTGGCCTCTGGCCTGTTCTAGAAGGGTTCATCCGGGCACTGCTCGGCCAGTGTGGCCCCCACCACTCCACCCCCACCATCGACACTCTGGCAGTGGGGTGGCTGGGTTCACTGGCCCGGCAGCAATCTGAAAGAGCACGCGGAAAACCTGCCCCCCAAGTTAAGGTCTGTCCCCAAACTGCTCCACGCACAACACTGCGGCCTCACGGAGGATGATGGTCCCCATCGCGAGGCGTGCACCCACGAAGCCCTCACTCCCCAACACCCGGCCAGGGGGGTACGGGAACGTGGAGGCTGTGGGGGGCGTGGGCTGGGCCTCCAAGCAGCGGAGAACCACTAAGCTGCCCCAAACCCTGGGACCGGGGCTGGGTGTGCGCCCCCGTGCTTTCTGCTGGTCTGGCGCTTTAAGAGTCGCCCTATTTGCATGGCCCCGCCCATGCCGGTGTGGGGCCGGGCTCCGTATTTAAATAGCTGCCCCGGGGGCGGGGCCCGCCCCGAACGTGGTCCCGCCCGGCGCTTTCCTTCGCGGAGCGGCCACCGGACCGCGGCCGGGCGAGCTCGCGGGTGCAGGGCGCGGAGCGATCGACGGCGCGGCCGCGCTGCTCGAACGCCCGCTCGGCCCTGCGGGCCACTCCCGACAGCGCCTCGCTCCGGGCGGCGGGGACCGCGAAGCCCCGCTCTGTCCCTCTCTGTCCCCATCCTATTCCCGCTGCGCCCGCTCCGCTCCGCTCCGTCCCCGCTCCGTCCCCGCTCGGTCCGCAGCCGTCCCGGCTCCGTGCTGCTTTGTCCGCCCGGTCCCCGCCGCCCACCCCTGGCGATGCCGTGCGGTGCCGCCGGGGCGCTGCTCCTGGCCGTGGCCTTGGGGCTCGGGGCGCCCGGGGCGCGCGGCGCGGTGGCCCTGGCCGACTTCTACCCGTTCGGCGCGGAGCACGGCGACGCTGTCACCCCCAAGCAGGACGACGGCGGCTCGGGGCTGCGGCCGCTCTCCGTGCCCTTCCCGTTCTTCGGCGCCGAACACTCCGGACTCTACGTGAGTACCCGAGCCCGCGGGGCGCCGGGGAGGGCGCTGTGCCCTGGCCGCTGCCCGCCGCCCCGACTCCCGCCGCCGCCGCCGCCGCCGCCGCCGCCAGCAGCTTGGCACCACGGCGGCCAGAGGTGGAATGAGGACAGCGCTTCCTCCCTTGGCGGCCAAGGCCGGACAGCGGTCCGCAGGAGAAGCGGGCCGGGAGGGGGTGCGAGCTGCATGCAGCCCCACCGCCTTGGCGACCCGGCGCCTGCCCCGCCCCTGCCCCCGCCTGACCAGCCTGGAGCTTGGGCAGCGCGCACTGAGGGTCTACCAGTGCCTGGTCCCAGCTTGGTGGGGGGAGTCCTGGCCGGGTCCGGACTCTTTCACAGACAGCAGGCACGGGCCAATTCTGTCTCCACCACTCCCAGGGCGGGACCCTGGCCACTAAGGGAAAGAAATGCTGAGCCTCCTCACTGCATCATGCACTTTCTGTGGGTGGGCCACAGTGCCCTGGCACCTGACTTCCCCAGATCGCCTGAATCTGGGCTAGAAAGGGTCTGGGTAGCCTGAGGCACTGTCACCTCCAACACCAATGCCCAGAACACAATCTCTGCCATTCCCACCACCATCATCACCACCACCTCCCATTCCCCTATCAGCCCACCATCAGCATCACCCCCTGCACTGCCACCTCCCCCATCAGCATTGTCACCTGCTCCATCATCCCCCCCATCTCCAGCACCACCTCCAGCACCACCTCCAGCACCATCCACAGCTTTGGCACTGCTGTCATTCTTACCCACCACTGTTCATGTGGCCTCTGCCACCCCCTTACCATCATCGGCTCCCTCTGCCACTTGGCCACCCCACAGCTGGGCAGCTGCCTTTCCCAAGCCCATGCAGAAAGGTCTCCATGTGAGGGGCAGCAAATGCTGATGGGACTGTGGTGGCAAGAGGCAGCCATTGCTCTGTAGACGCACCCGCTGCAAGTCCCTCTGGTCCAGGATCTGGACCTTGAGTCAGGACTGGCTTCAGAAATATGGAAGGAGCAGGGCAGAGCTGTGCTCAGCTCTTTGGGAGCTGAGGAGCCCCATACATCTTAGAAATAGGAAAACACATGTTGGCACCATCTTACACAACACTGCATCAGCATGGCCCTTGAGACTTAGCCAGGCTCCACTTTCCCACCCACGGTCACAGGTGAAAATATTATGAAAACAGTCGACCCCCTGACCAGCCCCACTGAAAACATCAGCCTTTGCCAAAACAACGGGAGAGAGGGCTCTGAAGTGGACAGATCCACTAGCAAAACAAATGGTTTCATCAGAAACCAACATTCTGACTGCTAACAAAACATAGATCTTCCTAAGAGCTTTGTCCTGAGACAGAGATGTTATTTGAAAAACACTTGCCTGTGTGGACACAGAGAGCCCCTTCACCTTTTCTTCCCTTCAAAGGAAAGAACGGAATTCTTGAGGGGACAATGCCCAGAGCACCTTGCCTGAAATAACCACGGCTCTGTGTCAGGGAGGGAGCGGGCCAGCGGGCCTGGAGGCCTTAGAATCACAGCCAAAGGAGGGAAGGGATGGTATCTGTTCTGAAGCAAGTGTGGGTCTGCCCAGGTGCCTCCCACACCCATGCAGGTCCAGAAGTTGGATCCTGCATGTCCCTGGATCCAACCATTATCCAGCAGAGCACACTTGGACCAGCCCTGAGCCCAGCCCCCTGTGGCCAGTCGAGTGAGAACCCAGTTCATGCTCCCCCTGCCCTCTGTCTGGAGGGATGGATGGATGGGTTGATGGGTGGATGGGTGCCTCAGCCCTTTGACAGGGCCCACTTGTCACTCAAATCAGCAGTGATGCTGCTTGGAGATCAGTGTTTTCTGAGTCACCATGGAATCAGAACACAGGCTACACCCTAGTAAGGATTCAGTCCTGTGATATTTGGGGGCCCCCTTTCCAGAAGGCACCCAGCATTAGGCTTCTTCTCACGTCATAGCAGCTGCATGTGCTAAGTTGTGAGGCTCTGAAAATCATGGAGGGTCATTCCATTGCTAAGGTCCTACACCAGGCAGTGCTGCTAGGTGGTTAGAGCTGCAGCAGCCTGCTGAGGGGCATGGTGTGTGATATAGATGGCAGCTGTGCCATGGCCTACGGGACTGGCCTAGGTGGAGCAACCACTCAGGGTGGCATGGGAAGTGAGAGGCAGTGATTCTGTAGAAGTCCCAGATGCAGCCCCTCCCCACACATCCCCACTACCTCTCCCCCCCCCCCCACTCCACTGGATTGGGTTATGGAGATGTAAAGAAAGATCTCGATTTATTTGTCACCAGGAACTGCAACTAGTGGCTTCAGGTACACGTCACCACTCGGCTTCCGTTCCCTCGTTGGGTGAAGGGTTTGCCAGATGGGCAACACCTGTGAAGGTGCCCACCTGTGAAGGTGCCCACCTGTGAAGGGCCCACAAGTTTGTTACAAGGTTGCAGAGGCCAGGAAGGGGGTGCAGGATCTGACAGTCAGTTTCCAAGACTGGCCTGTTGGAATGGTAGACGAGGTGTGCCCCTTAGGGTCCCTTCCACCTGTCACCCCGGGGCCTCCTCCAACCCCCGCTGGCCTCTCACCCATGCTGCTCTGACCCTCTGACCCTCCTTGCCTTTTGGAACACTTTGGAGCCAGTCTCAGCACGCAGAGTGGGAGCTGAGGTGGACAGTGTGCCCATGGAGCCCAGAGAGAAGGCGTGGTGTCAACAATGAATGACCGAGGCAGGCTGCCTGCCCACCCTGAACATGCCGTCCCCACCCTGCCTTCCCCAGATCAGGGCCACCATGGCTAGTCATTTCTTCCCAAAACCTCAGTTTCCTCTCTGTGCAGTAGAATGCTGCCATCTGAGGATGCCCGTGACACATGTCCAACCATCACTGCCACAGCTGTTCTGGCCACAGCTCCAAGCCATCTACAAAAACTGCCCCGACCCACAGGGACAGCCTGGTGAGGTGCAGGCGGGCCTGGCGGTAGAGTCCCGCTTCTTCTGAACCCACAGAGCAAGCCCGTGAGAGCCCAGCCGACTCCAGAGCGGCCCAGGAGCTGCCCTCTCCTTGCTGTGGGCGCCCTCATGGGTGCTTCCTTCCTGCTGTACCAGAGCGGGGGAGGGGAGCAATAGAAGAAAGGAGATGCAGGGGTGGAATAGAGCAGGAGTTGAGGTCAAGGTGGCACTGGCCCCCCTGCCCAGACCTCCCTGGCAGCCTGGCAGAGGGCAGGCGGAATGGTCATCCTCTGTACAGATAAGGAGACTCAGGCTAAGAAGGCAGATCCAGGGCCTCAGACTCCCATGTCCGAGTGGCTCCTTATCATTCCAGCCCAAACTAGCAGGACCCAGCCCCAAGTCCTGCTTCCTCCAGCCCACTGCACAGGGCGTGCAGACAGCCCCTGGAGCCTCTTCAGGGCCTCTCTCCCTTCCTTGTCCCCACATTGTCAGCAGCTGGGCCTGGCAGCTCCGCCTTAGAAACACGTTCACTTCCCAGCACCTACAGTCAAGTCCCTGGGCCAGGCCACCATCCCCACTCACTGGCCCCCAGCTGCTGGCACTGCCCCTCGAGCCTGTTTTACAGGGCAGCCAAATGGGCCTCTCCCCTGCCTCTATTTCCTGCCCTTACCTTCCCCTGGTCTTTAGGTTGGAAGGTTTGACCCTGTGCACCTCACTGGGCAGCAAGCCTGGCCAGCTAGGAATGACTCGGGTGTCCCCACTCCTTATCTCTTGGGGACTCTGTGAAGCCAGAACTTCTTAGCTAGAAGTGGCCAGCTTGCCAGGCTGTCTTCCCAGACAACTCGCATGGAAACCTGGTGTGTTCACTGCCCTAGGACTTCTTCACTAATGCATTCATCCATGTAGCATCCTGACATCCTGCCTGAGCCTAGGGGGCATCCACCTTCTGACATTGGATGACACAACCGTCATCCTGCATCCACACTCCCTGGTTTGTTTCAAGCACCGTTAGGGTTCTACAAAACAAACTTGCCCTTTCATACAGGTTTCTGTTGCACACATGTGAGCGTTTTCCTATGCTTTGAGTATGTAAGAGCAATATCATACTTGGTGACAGTATGATATTTCCTCCAGTCACTGCATCATGTCATTTTAACCAATGAGTTGTTGACTGTGGGTGGTTTCAGGATCTCCCATGAGCTAATGTCACCAGTGCACGACCCCTTATGTGTCCTTATGCAAGTCTCCCACTCTCTCCTTCCTTACCGAGTGGGTCAGAGGGAACGTGCTTCTCACAGCGTCTGCCTGCTGCCCATCACCCAGGAGACATCCACATCTGCACCCTTCTCTCCTGGCTGAAGGAGTCACCTCATCTGGCCTGAGTCAACCTGCAGGCCACTACTCACTCAGCTCCTGCATGGTCCAGGATTAGGCACCTGGCCAGAGCAGATCCCAGTGTGGGACTCCACAGGGTCACCTGGGAGCAGGAGAGAAATGCAGAGCCCTGGACCCTCCCCAGCATGCAGGGGCCCCAGAATCAGCCTTTACTCAGGTCCCTGGTGCCTGTCCAGGTCCCCACCTGAGAAGCGCTGCTCCTCACTGGCCTGCTCCGGGCACTCCTAACCCTGCAAGCTCAAGTCTCCACTGCCTCCCACGTACGCGTGCAGGGCTGGCTGGGACCAGCTGCCCTCCAAGGGCCCAGGCCACACGTGCTTCTGGTGGCCCCTGATTCCAGGCCATCCTGTGGTCAGACTGATGATAGGGGTGGGGGCAGCGAGCAGGCCCAAGGACAGAAGAAGCTGGAAGAGTTGGCTCCCGGGATGTTTCACCCATGGGTCTGTGAGCAGGCGGCTGGGTGGGGCCTCCCCACTGGTTTCACCACCACCCCCACCTCCCCATAGGGGTCCCACCTTAGTGGGGCAAGTGATTTGTTAACCACCAGCTGAAGCACTGCTTCCCATACCGAGCTCTGCAGGGAGGCCAGGGTGGGAGGAGGGAGAACAGGAGGGAGTCCAGGCATGGGTCGCAACCCCAAACCCTGC